GATCCCCGCCTGACTTGCCAGCCTCTCAGCTGCAACTCTAAGTAACTATGTTGCAAATATAGAAGCTAAAAAAACCCCAGAAACCTACTTTACTCAGCAGGGCTTCAGCCAGCCGGACTGCAACATTGTATCAAATACAGACAGTAAACAAAGGCCAGAAACCTGTTTTCAGCAGCTGAGGCCTCAGAGCTAAAGCTGGCCCAGAATAAAAAAAAAAAAAAGGACCGGTTGGGAGCTTCAGTCCCAGCCTGAAAACAGCCCTCAGCCCCTCACCCAGACTGGCCAGGCACCCAGTGGGGACCCCCACCCTGAAGGCTGTGTGACCAGCTGCAAACAGCCATCATCCCCTCATCCAGGCTGGCCAGGCACCCCAGTGGGGACCCCCACCCTGATCCAGGACACCCTTCAGGGCAAACCAGCCAGCCCAACCCATGCACCAGGCCTCTATCCTATATAGTAAAAGGGTAATATGCCTCCCAGCTCCGGGATCAGCGGAGCCGCGAGGCCTCCCGGCACCGGGATCAGAGTGACAGCGGGCAGCGCCCAAACCCCCTGATTGCCCTGCGGCTCTGTGTGTGACAGGGGGCGGGGCCACAACCTCCCAATCCGCCCTGCTCTGTTCGTGACAGGGGAAGGCACCCCAACCCCCTGATCAGCCGGGCTCTGTGCCTGATAGGGGGGAGCTCCCCAACCCCCTGATCACCCTGCATCTCTGTGTATGACAGGGGGCAGGGCCCCAACCCCCTCACCCCCCACCCCACAGGCCCTGCTCTGTGTGTGACGGGGTAGAACCATAACCTCCCCATTGGCCCTGCCCTGAGTATGAGAGTGGCGGCGCCCCAACCACCTCATCGGCCCTGCTCTGTGGGTGATAGAGGGCAGCGCCCCAACCCCTCCCCCCCCACGGGCCCTGCTCTGTGTGTGATGGGGTAGAGCCATAACCTCCCCATTGGCCCTGCCCTGAGTATGAGAGTGGCGGCGCCCCAACCACCTGATCGGCCCTGCTCTGTGGGTGATAGAGGGCAGCGCCCCAACCCCTCCCCCCCCACGGGCCCTGCTCTGTGTGTGATGGGGTAGAGCCATAACCTCCCCATTGGCCCTGCCCTGAGTATGAGAGTGGCGGCGACCCAACCACCTGATCGGCCCTGCTCTGTGGGGTCGCCCCAACCCCCCCTCCCCACAGGCCCTGCTCTGTGTATGATGGGGTAGAGTCATAACCTCCCCATCTGCCCTGCCCTGAGTGTGACAGTGGCGGCACCCAAACCCCCTGATCAGCCCTGCTCTGTGGGTGATAGAGGGTGGCGCCCCAACCCCCTGATCTGCCCTGCCCTGAGTGTGACAGGGGGCAGTGCCCCAACTCCCCTATTGGCCCTATTCTGTGAGTGACAGGGGGGAGCTCCTCAACCCCCTGATCGGCCCTGCTCTGTGCATGACTGGGGGGAGCTCCCCAACCCCCTGATTGACCCTGCTCTGTGCATGACAGGGTATGGAGCCCCAACCCCCCTGATGGGCCCTGCTCTGTGCGTGACAGGGGGTGGCGCCGCAAACTCCCAATCGGCCCTACCCTGAGCGTGACTGAGGGTGGCATTGCAACCTCCCAATCTGCCCTGCTCTGTGCATGACAGGGGAAGGCGTCCCAACTCCCCAATTGTCCCTGCTCTGAGCCCGACCAGGGTCTGCACCTAGGGATTGGGCCTGCCCTCTGCCACCCGGGAGCAGGCCTAAGCCAGCAGGTCGTTATCTCCCGATGGGTCCCAGACTGTGAGAGGGCACAGGCCGGGCTGAGGGACCCCCCCCTTCCCCCGAGTGCACAAATTCTTGTGCACCGGGCCTCTAGTTTTGAATAATAGCCTTGCTGGATATAGTAATCTTAGTTTCAGATCCTTGCTTTTCATTACCTTGAATACTTCATTCCATTCCTCTTGCCTGTAGAGTTTCTTGCCGGAAGCTAATTCCAGCATGTCATAAATGCAAGAAGTTTCATCAAAAGGTTGATGGAACCTTGAGGATTGCCTGCTGGAAATGGCTAAGGGCATTTCCCCACACCTACAGATTTGCATAGATGATTGCTTGCTGCCAGACAGCTGAGGGCATTTCAAGCTACATGTAATTGCCTCCTACTGGCCAAACACCTGAAACAGCTGAAGGCAGTTCCTCCAATCTGACAATGGATTCTGTATACTAAACCTTGCCTTTGATATGTATATCTACCTTGCTTTAGGACAATTTGTGTTAATAAAAAGCAAGGGGTCCAGAGAGACAGAAGAACTTGGTTCTTACAGCCAAGCTCCTCTGGCTTCCCGAAATGCCTTCCAAAATTGTTTCATCTCTAGACTCTTTAATAATTTATTGCAGCCCTTCTCCAGATTCCTCAACCCTTCTAGATGCTGGATAAGACTCCCGGCAGTTTCTGATGAAAAATCAACTGACAGCCTTATGGGAGCTCCTTTGTAGATAACAAATTATAGGGAGTGGCTATAGGATCAAGTCTCAGATTGACCTGTGGAAGGGCCACAAACAAGTCCCAGCTTGGAGGGCAGAGGTCTCTTAGCATAATTAAGCTTAACATTATAGCCCTCCCTAGTTCCTTCCTAAGTAGCTAACGGGCTGTGGGAGGTGCAACAAGTGCTGCCAAAACAAGGTGAAAGGCATAAGAACATTGTAAACATGTTGACCACTTCCTATGTTTTGCTTTGTGTGTTCTGACTATAAAATAAAGCCTCAGCTTGCAGGCAGGGTCTTTCTGTGTCTTCATCCAGGCACAGGAGATCTACAAAGCCCCAACTGTATTCTCTTGTCTGTCTTCTTTAATCCTTCACCACCCCTCCTCAGGTTCACCCTTGGCCGTGCAGGCACAGCACAACAATTTGCTTTCTCTTGTTGCCTTTAAGATTCTTTCCTTATCTTTAATTTTTGGCATTTTAATTATGATGTGTCTTGGAGTGGGCAAGGTTTGGTTTGGGTTCTTCTTGCTTGGGACTCTCCTGAACTTATGTGACTTTTTCCTTCACCAGGTTAGGGAAGTTTTCTGCCCTTATTTCTTCAAACAAATTACCTTGCTCACCTTCTTTACCTTCAGGCACTTCTATGATGCACATATTGTTATATCTCATGTTGTCCCACAGCTCCCTTAAGCTCTCCTCCTATTTTTTAATTGTTTTGGGGGTTTTTTTGGTTCTCTGAGTCATTTTGTCTACTGTCTTCTTATTCACTGCTTTGAACCTCAGCTCCTCTATCTGCTGTGTATTCCTCCCAATGTGTTCTTTAATGGTGGTATGTCATTCTTCATTTCTGACTGGTCTTTTTTCATAGTTACTATCTTTTCTCATACTGTTGAGCATCATTGCCATCATTCTGAACTCTGTATCTGATAAATGTCTTATCTCCATTTTGTTTAGTACTTCTTCTGGAGAATTCTCTTGTTCTTTCATCTGGGGCTTGTTTTTTTGTCTCCCCATTTGGGCTGCCTGTTTGGGTTTGTGTCTATGTGCTAGGTTGATCTGCTATGATTCCCAATCTCTAGTGTAGGACAATGTTAGATGCTGTTTGTGGCTGGCCCTGAGTACCCTGTTTGGAGCTATCAACAATCCACAACTTGCAGCTCCCTCTGTTGTGGCTGGGTGCCTTTGGAAATCACCAAGATGTGCACCAAGGTTTGCTTTTCCTAGCCCCAGGCCTAGAAGGAAATCAGGCAAAGACTGAAAGTCTGCTGAGATCCACATCTGCCTGCAGATGAACAGACATTCAGTCTTGATTAGCCTCAGGCTATGAAACACAGGGTGGGGTGAGAGGTAGTCCAACAAGGTGGGGCAATTGCTCCCTCACCCCCACCCAGGCAAAAGCTGCCTGGATAGCAAATGTCTGCATGAGAAAGATATCCTCTGTGTGTGAGGGAATGACTCTGCACAGGAAACTGGGGTGGCTCCCTTCGGAGCTCTAACCTCCGAGCCTCCAACCCTGGATTCTGCTCACACAGCTCTAGTTCCCTCTCTCCTCCCTCTTCTGGAGCCCAAGGTGAGTAGCTGCACACAACATTTTGTGTGCTGGCCCATTAAGAGGGTGCTTGCATTTCCAGCCATTTCTCCCTGGCAGACAGCAACCACACTGCTTTTCACTGCCCGATGTTCTGTGGGCAACTTTCTCAGGTCTGGTATTCTGGGCTGGGGAGCCCGGATTGAGGTTTATATCCCAGAGTTCTCAGTGGAAACCCCGCACATCTGAGATATCCTTCCAGAAGTTCAGCTGCTGCCTGTGAGAATCCAGCCAGCCCTTTCCTATCTCCAGCCTTCCTACCAGTCTCTATGTAGTCTCCACTTCTGTCCTTGGTTATCAGGATTCTCTCCAGCTATTCTTCAGCTTATTATTCAGGATATTTTTTTCTGTATTTTAGTTATAATTCCAGTTTGATCCTGGGAGAGTGTCAGTGTAGCTTCCACTTACTCTGCCACCATTTTGGAATTCCCCAACATTCTTAAATGAAGCCCACAATCATGCTCTGTCTTTACTGTTATTGTGGTTTTTAAATCACTAAACATGAAGGAACACTACAAAAAGAACCAGTATCATAGCAACAGCTCCTGAATCTTCACAGCATATTTAAAGTAAATTCAGATAGTGATTCCAACAGCATTGAGCAAGGCCCAATTAAAGATAAGTACAAAGTACACTCTAGCTCAAATATAAGTGATTTGGGGGTTAGTCTCAACTTCCCTGTCCTTCATACAAGTCAGATCTTGAGTTTTCTAGACAACATAATTGGGAAAACAAGACTATAGGTTCCTTGTGTGTGCCCTGTGCACTGCTTGAAACACTCTGCAAGCAGGAACCAGACAGCTCTAGCAATCATTTTTCTGAATTAAAGGATACACCCAGGCATGCTAACAAGTGAGAAAAAGACCCATTGCATAAAAAGCTTCAGTGATCTTTGGTATCTTCTTGGTTATGATTATCAGTAACTTCACCATACCCCAGTAATATCAGTAATAGAAAGTTGAACTTACTTCTCCAGGAGTAAATGATATGCCGCATTCCATAGATGTCCCTCCCTCTAACTCTAAATAATACCGGTCAGGAAATGCAGGGTCTTTGTGTTTCCCTAAAAAACAAGAAAGAGTGCATGTAAAAGAAGCCAATCCTATCTAATAAAAGAGGAACATTGTAATTAGCCGTACCTCCGCTACCCTTCCCATTGGCTAATCAGGGCGATATGCAAATTAACTGCCAGCCAAGATGGCGGCCGGCAGCCAGGCAGCTTGAAGCGAACATGAGGCTTGCTTGTTCAGTGACAGAGGAAGCCAACGTTCCCCGCCTGTTCCCTGCCTGCCGCTGTCGGCCTCTGAGCTTTCAGTTTGAAAGACTGGTACAAATATAGAAGCTAAACAAAACCCCAGAAACCTGCTTTCAGCCAGCCGGGATCTCAGAGCTGGAGTTGAAACAGTGTTTTGATTATAGAACCCAAACAAACCAGATACCTGCTTTCAGCAGCAGGGAGGCCTCAGAGCTAGAGCCAAGCCTCAGAGCTAAAGCTGGCCCAGAATAAAAAAAAAGGAAAAAAAGGAGCGGTTGGGAGCTTCAGTCACCCGCCAGCCTGAAAACAGCCCTCAGCCCCTCACCCAGACTGGCCAGGCACCCCAGTGGGGACCCCCACCCTGAAGGGTGTGTGACCAGCTGCAAACAGCCATCAGCCCTTCACCCAGGCTGGCCAGGCACCCAAGCGGGCCCCCCACCCTGATTCAGGACACCCTTCAGGGCAAACCAGCTGGCCCCCACCTGTGCACCAGACCTCTATCCTATATAGTAAAAGGGTAATATGCCTCCCAGCACCAGGATCAGCAGAGCCGCGAGGCCTCCCGACACCAGGATCAGCGTGACAGGGGGCAGTGACCAAACCTCCTGATCGCCCTGCGGCTCTGTGTGTGACAGGGGGCGGGGCCACAACCTCCCTATCCTCCCTGCTCTGTTCGTGACAGGGGAAGGCCCCCCAACACCCTGATCAGCCCTGCTCTGTGCCTGATAGGGGGGAGCTCCCCAACCCCCTGATCAGCCTGCAGCTCTGTGTGTGACAGGGTGCGGCGCCCCAAACACCCCCGCCCCCCATGGGCCCTGCTCTGTGTGTGATGGGGTAGAGCCATAATTTCCCCATCGGCCCTGCCCTGAGTGTGACAGTGGTGGCGCCCCAACCCCCTGATCGGCCCTGCTCTGTGGGTGACCAAGTGCGGCGCCCCAAACCCCCCTCCACGGGCCCTGCTCTGTGTGTGACGGGGTAGAGCCATTACCTCCCCATCGGCCCTGCCCTGAGTGTGACAGTGGTGGTGCCCCAACCCCCTGATCGGCCCTGCTCTGTGGGTGATAGAGGGCGGCGCCCCAACCCCCTGATCCGCCCTGCTCTGTGTGTGACAGGGGGCGGTGCCCCAACTCCCCTATCAGCCCTACTCTGTGAGTGACAGGGCAAGCTCCTCAACCCCGATGGGCCCTGCTCTGTGTGTGACAGGGTACGGAGCTCCAACCCCCCTGATGGGCCCTGCTCTGTGTGTGACAGGGTATGGAGCCCCAACCCTCCTGATGGGCCCTGCTCTGTGCGTGAAAAGGGGCAGTGCCCCAACCCCCTGATCAGCCCTGCTCTGTGCGTGACAGGGGGTGGCGCCGCAACCTTCCTATCGACCCTACCCTGAGTGTGACAGGGTACAGAGCCCCAACCCCCCTGATGGGCCCTGCTCTGTGAGTGACAGGGGGCAGCGCCCCAACCCCCTGATCGGCCATGCTCTATGTGTGACAGGGGGTGGCGCTGCAACCTCCTCATCGACCCTGCCTTGAATGTGACAGGGGGCGGTGCCCCAACCCCCCAATCGGCCCTACCCTGAGCATGACTAGGGGTGGCATCGCAACCTCCCGATCCACCCTGCTCTGTGCATGACAAGGGGCGGCGCCCCAACTCCCCAATCGGCCCTGATCTGAGCCCGACCAGGGGCTGCACCTAGGGATTGGGCCTGCCCTCTGCCACCCGGGAGCAGGCCTAAGCCAGAAGGTGGTTATCTCCCGAGGGGTCCCAGACTGTGAGAGGGCACAGGCCGGGCTGAGGGACCCCTCCTTCCCCCCTAATGCACAAATTTTTGTGCAGCAGGCCTCTAGTCTATATATATAAGCCAAGCAACCGGAACAACGGAACTACTGGAACGACCGGTTGCTATGTTGCGCACTGCGGCAACCAACCAGCCTGATCGGGGCCCCAATCAGCCCCTGGCCAACCTCCCATGCCCCCCCCCACCCCGCTGCCCCATGCCAGCCCGGCCCTGATCGCCCCCATCAGGGCGGGCCAGCCGGACCCCACCTGTGCATGAATTCATGCACCAGGCCTCTAGTTGTTAAATGAAACACTAAGAAACATCATCAATGTGTTCTTAACAACCTAAAAGCAATTGCTAAAATATCTGTACTGTGCTGCGTAAGTTTGCTGGATTAAATAATCGCTCTAAATATCAAAGTTCTAATCAGCAAAACTGATATCCAAACATGGTGCAAATATATATTCAATTAGCAAAACAGACAGTAATTCCATTTTTCAAAAAATCTCCAACATTCAAGAAGCATATCATAGTCCTATCAGATGAATGTGGAAAGAAATACTAGTAAAGGTCAAGGTCACATAACTGACTGAATCTTAGATCTGAGAAGGTTGGGAGACACGCTTTCCAGTGAAGATGGAGCAGGGAAGACGCAGAACACTCCTGATGTCTTAAAGAGTGCACAAAGAAGAGAAACACAATTTTACAAAAGAAAACTTGACAAAATGGAATCACTCCAGATACAAAAGATACAGAAACAATTGACCAATAGTAATGCAAACTTCAGGTTCAAAAATTATAACTATTTAAATTAACCTCTGAAACAATTTTCTGAAAGATCAAATGTTAGAACAGAACTCTGTCCTCATCTAAATGATTTTTAAAATTCTTTTTCCTCCATAAAGTTTTCAGATTATGCCAAGGAATAATAATAAGCTCATTTATCCCTGTCTGGAGATGAACTTCGATATCTCATTCCACCCTTTTTCATCCTACTCAATTTCACTTACTACAATGTAAAAACCATTAAACAAATGAACAAAAAAACCAAAACCCATTAAATTTACATTAATATAAACATTGTTGGTGATATGCAGAAAGATGCACATATTACACAGCAAAGAATATCCACCTTGAATGCATGTATGTTTTGAAAATAGAAGACATAACAAAAATGGATAAATAAATCAATATTCATAAATATATTTGGAGTATATATAAAATATAGTTTGTGAAATGCAATAATCCAAGTTAGCTTCAATAAATATTTCTTGAGTGCCTATAATATACACAGCACTATACTGGACTGTTCAAATAGAAAACAAAAACTATATAGTCTTTAATCCCATGGAGCTCACAGTGTACCAGGGGAGACAAACAGGTACATAGCCCTTTTTGGTTAGTGTTACAATAAAACTTATACAACATCCTAAGGGAGAAAAGATTTAAAAAGTAATTTCAAACAATTGGATGGGGGAGGGGAATGGGACTAATGACCAACAGGACTCAGGAGGTTGAAGCTCATTTATAAAAGTAGACAGGATCTCAAGCAGCAGGGACCAAAAAAAAAAAAAAAAAAAAAAGGAAGCATCCTAGAAGGGAAGCCCAGTGCCACTGGGAGGAAATGCAAAACAGAATCTGGCAGCGGCACAGAGAACCGATGGCGCCTATAATGGAAGTGGTGGCTGTGAAGACAAAGTGGAATCACAGCCAACACAAATGGATTTCAACCTTTCCTCTCCTGTAAGTCATTCTATCAAATAATCCTGAAGCCATCATGTGAAAAAAAACAAGTCTAATTTGCCAATGAAGGGCATTTATGTGTTCAAATATTTATAAAAATAAGATACATTTTCAGGGTATTTTAAGTATAAACTATACTGCAAGTTGTTAATTAAGATCCATTTACATTTTTCCTAGACTGTATCAGCAGCGAGCTGCTGAGAAACACTGGTAATAGGGAACCAGCAAAGCTTTTTAAGCAGAGGTCTGATAACATCTCTGCTTTAAGGAGACCACTCTCTGGTATAAGTATGAGGAGAAAGGCTTGCAAGCAGAGAAAGCATTTGAAAAGATGCAGTGGCCTAGAGGGGAGGTTTGAGCTAGGACTAAGGCAGAATTGAAGAAAGGCACTTTGCAGAGTAGCTCTGCAGAATAAGCAAGAAGAGGCTGTAATCCATTGAACTAGGTGCATGAAAGTATATGGGCTGGTCATTCAGAGTGAAGTGTTAAAACCATGGGAGTTTCAACATCTAGATTTTTTTTAAAAATTAATATAGATTTCATATTGACTTCCAACTGTTTATTGTTATTCCTGGGCTATTCCACAGCCTCCTCAAACACAGTATGCTCACCTAAACCTGCTCCTCCTAAATTGCATCAACTATTAATTGTCACCCACCCCTTAGTGTCAAAAACTGGGAGTGATTCAAGACTTCCTCCTCTTTCCTAATACCCATGTTCACTTAGTAACCAAGTCAGAGACTTTCTAAATCCTCAGAACCTTTGTACTCCCCTCCTTCCCATCCCCAGCATCATGACCTGAGTACAGGATCTCAGCACATCACACCTGTACAACCATACCTAATGGATCACCCTGTCTCTAGTCTTGCCCTTCCCACATCTACTCTTTGCTCCAGACCAATCTCAACTTTCCTCCAAAAGGAAAATTAGTAAAGCGTGAGCCTAATTATACCATTGCCTGGATATAAATCCTTTAATGGTGCTGCCTAACATCTAGGCCAGCGGTCGGCAAACTGCGGCTTGCAAGCCACATGCGGCTCTTTGGTTCCTTGAGTGTGGCTCTTCCATAAAATACCGACTTCTGTGCATGGGCCACGAAGTTTCAATCGCACTGTACGTGCGTGCCCACACGTGGTATTTTGTGGAAGAGCCACACTCAAGGGGCCAAAGAGCCGCATGTGGCTCGCGAGCCGCAGTTTGCCGACCACTGATCTAGGCTAACAGTCCAGAAAAGACCCTCAGCAACTTGGGTCTCACTTGCCCCTCCAATCCTGTTCCTCTATGCTTTAGATATCCTGAACTACTTCCACACTGACTCATTTCTAGGCTTTTACTTGCATTCTTTCATAGATTCCCTTTTCTTGCGTGTCTCCTCCAAGACTCAAATTACACATCAAATTCTGCAAAACATCTTTCTTGCTTTTTGTCTAGTTTTCCCTAGAATATGCTCCCTGAGCATTATGCACTGACTTGTCCTATAGCATCTGACATATTATATGGCAATAATCTGATTCTTTATTCTCCTCATCTAGTGATACAGGTGGTCTCTATTTATTACTTAGTCCAATAGCCATCTTTCTCTGCTCTTTCCTGACCTCTACAGGCTGATTCAGCTAGGCCCCATTGCTCTTCTGCCTCTGCTTTGGTTCAACCACAGGGAGACTCCAGCAGGATATGAGAAGGTAAAAGGTATATATGCCCTTGTGTCTTCCCTGCTTTGGCTAGTTCTGGCAATGGCTTCGTTTTTAGAGCTGTAACTATTCAAGTTGGCCCATCCTTCATAGTTTCAAAACTCATAGGGCTCCACTAATATCTTGCCTCCTCTTGTTCCTTCAGGCCCAGAGGTAGTAGCAGCTTCCATCCCTTGTTGGTTTCTTTCCACCTGGCTCCCACCTCCATAGATAATTCCTTTATTAAACCCTTGTCATTTAAACCCTTTTCATGGATCATCTGTTTAGTATTGATACCCTTACCATTAAACATACTGTTCACTTCTCAAGAAAGTGTAAGATACCTTTATAGACTCAAAATGGAGTATCTATCCCAGTGGTTCTCAACCTGTGGGTCACGACCCCTTTGGCAGTCAAACGACCCTTTCACAGGGGTCGCCTAAGACCATCTTGCATATCATATATTTACATTACGATTCATAACAGTAGCAACATTACAATTATAAAGTAGCAACGAAAATAATTTTATGGTTGGGTCACAACATGACGAATGTATTTAAAGGGCCAGAAGGTTGAGAACCACTGTTCTAGCCTATAATGGGTACTCAACAAATATTTATTGAAGGAATGACTAAACCAATGCTCAGCAAGCTTTTTTTAGAAGTGCCCAGATAGTAAGTATTTTAGGTTTTGCAAGCCACGTGGTTTCTATCACAACCATTCAACTCTGCAATTACAGCAGACATGCAGCCATAAACAATATACAAATAAGTGTGTCTGTGTTCTAATAAAACTTTATTTATAAAATCAGGTATCAGGCCAAATTTGGCCTACAGGCCTTAATTTGCTAACGCCTGGAATAAACAAATGAAATGCACTTATGAAAGTGCATATTTTAAAACTTAATTTAACATAAAAATACCTAATATATGAATAAACATAGCTCTCCAGGACATTTATCTGAAATTCATGAGCAATTAAAACTAGAAATTAATAATTTTATTTTTATTTATAGTATATACTTATATATAACTTACTATATGAAATCTATTAATAAGCAGCTATATGTCATGCATTACCAAAGTGTTGATATTAATATTGATGTATTTCTAGAAGTAAAACCATGATTATAGAGCATAAGAAAATCATTCACTGAATCATTAAAAACAGTTAAGAATAATTGCCCCTGACTTACAAAATTATATCTTTGAGCAACTTAAAACTGTTTTATTTTTACAATAATATCATTATAGTATAACATATATACCTGTTTTGTGTTTAAAAACCATTGAAAAATATAAATGACCTTCTAGATTAAACTCCACTCTGGCACGTGTTTTGCCTTTGTTCTTTACCAAAAATGGAATAATCTGGGTACCGCCAAGAAAGGTGCCGCCAAAGATAAATGTGTCCTAAAATTTTTAAAAAGGAATAATTAGAAAGTAGTGTAATAGTTTAAGAGAATAATTAAACTAAAAATTAAAAACTGTAAGAGGTAGACCTTAAAAGTCCTCATCATAAGAAAAATATTTGTAACTATGTTTGGTGACAAATGTTAACTAGACTTATTGTGGCAATCATTTTTTTCAATAAATATAAATATCGAATCATTATGTTGTACACAGGAAATTAACATATTTTATGTGAATGCTACCTCAACAAAAAATATACCGTTATGTTCACCAAAGACATTAACTAGAGTACTCCATAAAAATTAGTCACATTTTCCTTCCTTCCCCCAACTCCTGTATATCATCAGTTACCAAATCCCATTAATTCTGCCTCCTTCCTCACTTCTTATCCTTTTCGTAACTGAATAAAGTTAGTAACTCATCACTTTTCATTTCATTTCTAGATTCTCACTTTCTCCAATTCTTCTCTACAAAACTAAGTCACAATTAAAGCCACTGAAAATCTGACCACACTGCTTCATGTATTAAAATTTAATGATTCTCCTCCATCTATAGGAGAATATCGAATTCATTAGCAAGGCTCACAAAGGTCACCATGACCTTCCCCTAGCTCATGTTCCAGCCTCACCTACCTTCATTCTCACCCTACCACCTCATACTTCAGTAAGCTGTATGACTTGTCATTTCCAACCAATATCTGATGCTTCAACCTTCTGTACCTTTAGCAAGGTGTCCCTTGGTCAGGAAGACCTTTCACTAACTTATTATTGCCTGATAAAATATTATGCATCCTTCAATCCCCAGTTTGATAAACCAAAACTAAGGACACTGCTCAGGACTATTTCTGTTCCTTATATTTACTTATATTACACCATCACAAAGTCCCTTTATTTGTTTACATACCTGTTTCTCCTGGTGGTGCTTAAGTATAATTCATTTTGCATCCATACAAAGTGAGACTTAGCTTAAATACATAAGGAATGTTTATTTATTTTTTTAAAAAATATATTTTATTGATTTTTTACAGAGAGGAAGGGAGAGAGATAGAGAGTTAGAAACATCGATGAGAGAGAAACATCGATCAGCTGCCTCCTGCACATCTCCTACTGGGGATATGCCTGCAACCCAGGTACATGCCCTTGACCGGAATCGATCCTGGGACCTTTCAGTCCACAGGCCGACGCTCTATCCACTGAGCAGAACCGGTTTCGGCATAAGGAATGTTTATTGATTGTATCTTAACTTGAGCTTATATGTCAGGATGTGCCTACACCACAAAACTATAGAATTTGTCCTTCTGGTGGTGCTACTATATATACCAGTGATGGCGAACCTATGACATGCGTATCAGAGGTGACATGTGAACTCATTTTTTTAGTTGATTTTTCTTTGTTAAATGGCATTTAAATATATAAAATAAATATCAAAAATATATGTCTTTGTTTTACTATGGTTGCAAATATCAAAAAATTTCTATATGTGACACAGCACCAGAGTTAAGTTAGGGTTTTTCAAAATGCTGACACACCGAGCTCAAAAGGTTCACCATCACTGATATATACCCTACAGTTCCTTAGTAAAAAAATTACATGTATTATTCAAAGAGAAAGAAGCAACAATATTCTAATGTTAAGGAAAATACTTCATTAAGGTCAATTGGCCACTATCTGTTTCACTTAAAATATCAACCCAATTGCACAGGTGAAATTTATAAAATCCAAAATGGTTAATGAAAGTTTGACACTTTACATATGCAAAAAAACCATTCCTCTTATCCCATTCTGGCCTTGTCCATTTGCTCATTTGGGAAAAATTTCCTAATTGTTACTAAGATACAGAGTCAATGCCACACACTTATTAAATGTACTGCTAATAGTACCAGGTGGTACTAGAATATTTTTTTAAGGCAGCTATGTTTAAAATCCAACGTAATTAGGAAATATTAATAAATATTTATTAATGTAAAGTTCTATAAACTACTTAGCTGTGCCATAACATGAAAAGCCTTCCACAAATGTCTTTGGCATGAGGAAATAAAGTAATAAAAGTCTCAATACTTGTTTAAAATTGTTCAAGGAGAAACACCATAGCAATGGAAAAAGCACTCTGATCCTACAGGGTTTAATATCCAGGAGTAACCATAGTCTTGGACAAGCTAGCTTAATATCTGTCCATCTATGTGGACTCATAATGCCTTCAATACTGAATAAAATAAGGTTTGGAACATTATACCATAGAATTGTGCTGATGCCATTAAAGTACAAACTAGTAGTGAGGCCTACCTAAGGCAACCAGCAGCCTCATCAATTTCTGCTCAATTTAGTTAAGCACCAAAATGGTGCTAGGTACTGGGGAACTATTGAAAGAGAAAAAGAAAAGTGCAGATAACCTGAAAACAATTGACAATCACTATAATGAAGATGTTCCCAGAATTGAAGATGTCTGTAACATCTTGTAAATGTCACAATAGAGGTGCATATGGGTCTGCTTTGAAAGATCAGGATAAGTTTCTCTGGGTAGATGAGGCCATATATAATTCCTGAGAGGCTGGCCAAAAAAAGCATGTGTGTGCACTCTATCAATTATAGAACAAAATTTCATCAGGGTAACGAACAAAAAAAGTTAAATATAATTATAATGCAAAAATGCAAATCAACACCACAGTGAGATATCATTTTATATTCCAAAGACTGGCAAACATTAAGTCTTATAATACAATGTATAGAGCAATGGAATGTGGATCAATGGAAACTTGAAGAGAAAATATGGAAATTATCTTGTGAGGTCAAACATGCATATATTCAATGTCTCAGCAACTCCACTCTAAAAGAAAACTCTTGCATAAGTGCCTCAGAAGGTATGTATATCAATGTTCATAGGTATAGTATTTGTAATAACAAAAAAACCAGAAACACCTAAATTTATGAACAATGGAATGTGAATACAAATTATAGTATGTCTATGCAATGGACTATTAAATAGCTGTGATAATAGAATACAACCACATACACAAGTTCGATAAAATTTGGAAACACAATATTTAATTTAAAGCAACACACCGAAGACTGTACATGTTTTTTATAAAGCTCAAAAATGAACAGAGTAAACTAAACAATGAATGGTTAAGGAATTCATACACATATTGTAACCCAATTAGAAAAAGTAAAGGGATAATAACCAAAAAAATGAAGGAAAGGAATTATCCCTTAAAAGGAACAGAATCATGATGAAACCTACAAATGATTTAATGGTACTGGTAGTGCTCTGATACTTAAGTTTGGTGGTGAATTCTTACACCTTTATTTATTATTCTGCTTCATTACTTATTTACATATAATAATTTGTGTCAAATTAATACATAATAACATTTTTAAACATAAAGGGACTAACTAGGGACATAGAACCACCACAATTAATAAACCGGATACACACTTACTGGTATGATTTCAATATCAGCAACGTCAGCAGTTCCACCAATCCTAAGTTCTATGTCACTTGCATGGCGTATAGCAACCTAATATTTAGAAAAAAATATAACACTCTGTAGAAACCACATTAAAATATACTCATATACTGCTGAAGTGTTACCTGGCATTTATGTAACATTTTATAATTTAAATCATCATAACATTTTATAAATGTCACAAAATTTCTTCTGGCAGTTGTCATCACATTTCTTATTATGCAGAATTTATATTCCTAAGAGGAGTGAGTATTCAGCTCTTAAAACCTCCACCACAAATGGAATCAGCTGACAGATTGTGTTCCTGACTGCAGAATTCTACCCACTTGAATTTATATTATTGCCTCAAACTCTCTGAGATCCTTTTGTATTTACCTAATTTCAATGGATCATTAAAAATAAAACCAACAGGAAACTGACTGCAAACATACTTCTTTCCATAGGAAGATACTAATATCCACAACAACTATAAATGAGAGCAGCTAAAAATTGATGAGTATATGGGCCGAGTATGGAGCTAAATACATTACCTTCTTTTTAATCCTCAGTATTCTGTCAGATTACTTCTATTAATAACCTAATTTCCAAGTGAGGAAAGCTAAGGCTTAGAAAGGCCAAATATTTTGTCAGGGTATTTAAAAAAAAATTTTTTTTTGAGGTCATAAAACTTGAAAGCAACATCAGCGAAACTTGAACCAAGGACTATCTGAACACTCAACTGTTTCCAGGAAAATTATGATAGTGAAATAAGAATTTAGTTGTGTAATTCCTTGTTTAATTTTGCATCCATAGCATCTACAACAGAGACTGTGTTGAATGAATGAACAAATTTCATTGTATTGCACTTTTAAAAAGGTAAGCTTTTCTAAATAAGCCAGTTAGAGAAAGACAAATATCACATGATCTCACTTATATGTGGAATCTAATGAACTGATGAACAAAATAGGACCAGAGGCATGGATGCATAAAATACAATAACAGATCTCAGCAGGGAGGAAGGCAGAGGGGACAGGAAGAGATTAACCAAAGAACATCTATACTAATAAAACAAAAAGATGCAAATTCACTGTCCCTCCACAATGCCCACAAGCCATGCCCACCAGCCAATCAGGAGTGGGTATGCAAATTAACATGCCAAATATGGAGGTGTCAAGCGTCCTGGGAGGCAACAGCGGCCATGGGCTCCTGGAATCATCGCCGGCCCCAGGAGGTGAGGCCAGCTGCACCAAGCCACGCCTGCGGGCTCCCAGGAACTTTGCCGACAGAGAGCAGAGCAGGAGAGCGGGCAGAGAGCGGGAGGTTTGGAAGACTTGGCAGAGCAGGAGGCCGCTGGACATAGAGCAGAGCGAAAGAGAAGGTGGCTTGGAGGGCGTGGCTCCCTCTGTCACCCCAGCTTCCTCATCACAGCTGTGGAAACTGACAGCAGGGAGGAGGAAGTCCCACCCCCACAGAATCAGCCAGAATCAGCTGCTGGTCAGGCAGCTCTCAGAGTCCTGACAGCCAGGATTCTCATTCACCTGCATCTCAGACCATGATAGTAGAGAGGTGGGACTATGTCTAAAGAACAACTGTTGATACAACGAAGCTCTGCAGCCGAAAGATGCTGGCGTTATCAACAGAGAATGTCTGAAGAGCAACGTGTGTCTGATCTTGAAAGAAGGCAGCACCTGCGACAGAATGTATCTGAAGAGCAGCTATTGGAAAAACGTCACTCTGATGCCAAAAAACACCGGCGTCATCAACAGAAAATGTCTAAAGACCAACGTGCCTTTGAAGTTGAAAGAAGACGGTGGCAACAACAGAATATGTCTAGAGAATAGTCATCAACAAGTACTACCAATTCTGGTAGGAACTGCCTTCTCAGCAAAAACGGAGTACATGAGAATGCAATTCTCAAACATAGTTGTGGTGGAATGACTGTTCGATGTGAATTTTGCCTATCCCTAAATTTCTCCGATGAAAAACCATCTGATGGGAAATTTACTCGATGTTGTAGCAAAGGGAAAGTCTGTCCAAATGACATACATTTTCCAGATTACCCAGCGTATTTAAAAAGATTAATGACAAACGAAGTTTCTGACAGTAAAAATTTCATGGAAAATATTCGTTCCATAAATAGTTCTTTTGCTTTTGCTTCCATGGGTGCAAATATTGCATCACCATCAGGATATGGGCCATACTGTTTTAGAATACACGGACAAGTTTATCACCATACTAGAACTTTACATTCTTCGGATGGTGTTTCTCAGGAGTTTGCTCAACTGTATATTTTGGATACAGCCGAAGCTACAAGTAAAAGATTAGCAATGCCAGAAAACCAGGGCTGCTCAGAAAGACTCATGATCAACATCAACAACCTCATGCATGAAATAAATGAATTAACAAAATCATACAAGATGCTACATGAGGTAGAAAAGGAAGCCCAATCTGAAGCAGCAGCAAAAGGTATTGCTCCCACAGAAGTGACAATGGCAATTAAATATGATCATAACAGTGACCCAGGTAGATAATTCTCCCTGTGTAACCGAGGTTGCTGTCATATTCAGAAAGGAAGATGGAGAACCTCCTTTTGAAAGGGACTTGCTCATTCATTGTAAACCAGATCCCAATAATCCAAATGGCACTAAAATGAAACAAATCAATATCCTGTTTCCTACATTAGATGCAATGACATATCCTATTCTTTTTCCAAATGGTGAAAAAGGCTGGGGAACAGATATTGCATTAAGACTCAGAGACAACAGTGTAGTCGACAATAATACTAGACAAAATGTAAGGACACGAGTCACACAAATGCAGTATTATGGATTTCATCTCTCTGTGAGGGACACGTTCAATCCTATTTTAAATGCAGGAAAATTAACTCAACAGTTTATCGTGGATTCGTATTCAAAAATGGAGGCCAATTGGATAAATTTCATCAAAGCAAACCAATCTAAGTTGAGAGTTGAAAAATATAGTGGTTTGATGGATTATCTCAAATCTAGATCTGAAAATGACAATGTGCTGATTGGTAAGATGATAATACTTCCATCATCTTTTGAGGGTAGTCCCAGAAATATGCAGCAGTGATATCAGGATGCTATGGCAATTGTAACAAAGTATGGCAAGCCCAATTTATTCATAACCATGACATGCAACCCCAAATGGGCAGATATTGCAAACAATTTACAACACTTGCAAAAAGTTGAAAACAGACCTGACTTGGTAGCCAGAGTTTTTAATATTAAGCTGAATGCTCTTTTAAATGATATCTGTAAATTCCATTTATTTGGCAAAGTAATAGCTAAAATTCATGTCATTGAATTTCAGAAACGCGGACTGCCTCATGCTTACATCCTCTAATTAATTCCCTTTCAATGTGCACGAATTTCATGCACTGGGCCACTAGTCTATATATATAAAAGGCTAATATGCAAAGTGAGTTCAACCAGGAGACGGGGAGTTAGATCGCTCGCAATGATGTGCGCTGACCACTAGGAGGCAGCACAAAACAAAGAAAGGCCCTGGCCGGCAGCTGGCAGCCGAAGAAGGAAGGCCCTGGCCAAGAGCCAGAAGGCCCTGATCAGCCGTGATCACCGGCCAGGCCTAGGGACCCTACCTGTGAACGAATTATGTGCACTGGGCCTCTAGTATATGCATAACCCATGGACATAGACATAGTGTGGGGAAGGCCTTGGGGTTTGATGGAGGGGTCAAAAGGGGGAAAATGGGAGACATCTGTAAAACTGTCAACAATTAAAAAAAGATAGGCTTTGTAAAAACAACATACTCTTCTAAGATACAGTAGAAATTAACCTTTTAGTAAAATTTGTACTTTAGTGGCCATATTATTCTATATTTTTCAGATTACTATGTAAAAATTCTGCCTAAATCACAGACCATATACCACAATAACTATTTTTAAAACATCTCTCACCTGACTTGTGTGGCTTAGTGATTGAGCATTGAACTATGAACTAGGTCGTCACAGTTCAATTCTCAGTCAAAGCACATGCCTGGGTTGTAGGCGCAATCCCCAGTGGGGAGCATGCATGAGGCAGCCGATCAATGATTCTATCTCATCGTTGATGTTTCTATCTCTCCCTTTCCCTTCCTCTATGAAATCAACAAAAATCTATTTTTAAAAAGCATTTTTTAATACAAGTTTCTCTATAGAAGATATAATTCTTAGGCTATTTTTTGGGGTGAGGCAAATTAGTGTTTATTACATTAAGCTACATGTTATTTTTAAATTGTTATAGGGAACTGAAAGATAAAATGGTGATACTACTACATCTAAAGACATTCATTTTGATCTGATGACAGTGTACATATTATTTTTCAATGTGAATAAATGCACACAGTTAATCATCAAATTAAAGATCAAGAGTATTTTATTCTATGAGTTTATAATATGTAAAATTTATTGCAGACTGGTCTTGTTTTATTTTATTTAATGAACACAGAAAAGTCCCTAAAATTAAGGTAATAACTTTTCATTTACATAATTGTTAGAACATTAAACAATAAAACATTTAATGTGTGCTATAACATATAAAATTTGCTAGTAATTCATTTAGTCATTAAAGCTATTTTTAATTAGCATTCCAAAATTATTTTTTTCTAAGATATATAATTAATGCCATGAAAAAAAATATTTTACTCTATGAATAGTGAGGGCTTGTCACAAGTTAAGAGATGCCAGATATAATTCCAATTTCATGTGAAAATGCCTCATATTAATGAAAGGTGTTCATTTAAATTTAGTACAAGTTTCTATTACCAACTTTTACCAGAAATATTTTCTACAAATCCTTTTGCCAAATTCTGTTAACCATTTTTATAATAGATGATATAGACAAGATAGCTTTTCTTTCAGATTGCTAAAATCTGCACTTCATTAGAGTTAACTCATTGCTAGAATATAATAGAAATTTTAAAAACTCTTTTAAAAAATATATATTTTATTGGTTTTTTTTTTTTTACAGAGAGGAAGGGAGAGGGATAGAGGGTTAGAAACATCGATGAGAGAGAAACATCGATCAGTTGCCTCCTGCACACCCCCTATTGGGGATATGCCCGCAACCAAGATACATGCCCTTAACGGGAATTGAACCTGGGACCCTTCAGTCTGCAGGCTGACACTCTATCCACTGAATCAAACCAGTCAGGGCATTAAAAACTCTTTAATAGCTTAACATTAAAACCCCTTTTTCATTTGAAGAAATCATTAAAACAAAACAAGTTTCTAAAAATAAATACGTTTGTAACATTTTATAGCATTATACTTACCACTACAAATATATTAAACAACCAAATAAATCCACATAGACATATATATGGTGCAGGGACTCATGTGTACAAACATACCTTTGCTATTACATCGAATTTTTCTGCCAAGGTAGGTGTACAGGTGATAGTGACAACAGTTATCCCCCCCAAGGGAATTATTCCTTCTGATGGAACAATATTAATGATAGACATAAGAGTCCTACTGCAAACCTGTAAATGAAAATTTGCAGAAATGCTAATTATCCTTTCTTTTTAATTTTTTAAGTATAGTTGGCATATGATCTTATATTTGTTATATTAGTTTCATGTGTACAATATAGTGATTCAGCACTTTTAGACCTTACAATGTTATCATCCTATTAATTCTAGTAATGATCTGTCATGTGCAAACTTATTACAAAATTACTGACTACATTCCCCTTCCCGTTTTCAACTACCCTCACCCTTCTGGTAAACATCATTTTGGTCTCTGTTTCTATGAGACTGTTTTTGTTCTGTTTTGTTTTCATTATCCTTTCAAGTTACTGTTCCAAAGCTCACACAGGAAAGCTTCCAAACTACTATCTAGAGAGAGGTCCTCCAGGCACAGGGCATGAGATGATTGTGTAACTGATTTTCAAACACCAGATGCACATATAGTTTGAATTTCAACAAGGATTTGCAAATGGAACATTCAGTAATGGCACCTTCCAATTCAAACAGGAAGCTGAAGTTTATTGTCTGAAGTGTTTTCAAGACTCTGAAAAACTTAAAAGGATGAGCTATATCTCTTAGGGAAGATGCTAAAGTTCTAGATACATTGATAATTTTGCCTTTTCCCTGATCATAAAAACTGAAAGCAAAGGTAGTTGGGAAGCAAGATGATAAAGTAACTTCCTCTTCTTTGTCATTTCCTTGATAGCCTAATGTCTAAGGTATCATGTTGACATTCAGAAAAGGAACTTATGATGTGGTTTGTCAGAGACCAATTTAGCCCTGTCTACCATCCTTTAAACCAAAATAATAAAGGGAAATTAGATATTTAAAAGGAGATAGGAAATTAAGATATTTGGGGATATGAAGGAACAAAGAGCCTTCAAATCTAATTCAGAAGCAACAGAATAAAAAAAGGTATCCTCATTTGGTTATTGGGGTAAAAGACATCCTATATAATAAAAGCCTAATATGCAAATCGACCAAACAGCGGAACCAGTGGAATGACCAGTTGCTATGATGCACACTGACTACCAGGGGGAAGATGCTCAATGCAGGAGCTTCCCCCAGCCTGCAGGCCCCAGGCCAGCCAAGGCAGGTGCCAGTGGCCCACCCCCCCCCCCCCCCCGGCCCCGAATGCCCCGCCAGTTTCCCTGCAGAGGGAGGCGACTGGCAGCAGAGGTGAGGGGGCGGGGCCAGTGAGTGGGCGGCACCAGACTGGCCAAGGCTGGTGCTAGCAGGGGCCTCCCCAATTGCCTTGCTGGCCACCCCACAGATTGGCCCTGATCATCAGCCAAGCCTAGGGACCCTACCAGTGTAAGAATTTTGAGCACCGGGCCTTTAGTGTAAATAAAAGCTTGAATGAAAGATCTCCAATGCTAACTTCTATTAGAAAATCTTAATAGCTTTTTCAGTTATAAGAAAAAACAAAACAAAAAATTCTATCACCACTTTAAACACACCCCCACCTGGCAATTTAGATCAGAAAAAAACTATAAATACAGTATTTTTACAATGGTCTGAGTTGCTACCTTGAGAGTCCTGATGACAGAGGAGAAAAGAAAATGTATGTAATTAAATATGGAATGTGACATTGACAAAATACATTTTTAAATGGTATTTTCTTCAAATCACTTACCTTTTTTTAATATGACAAAATAACAGATAGAAAGAAAAAAGAGGGTAAGAGGAGAAGAAAAGGAGAGACTAAAAAAGAAAGGAAGAAATTAATTTTATGGGAAATTAAAAGGACAAAGTAGATAAAATATATTCAGAAAAGTATCATGTGAAATATATAAATATTAGCATTACCAAATTTATAAAGACTAAAGTATTAATACCATAGTGTTCATAGCAAAATATTCAATCAAATTATAATGTGATCTGATCTAAGTAAGATTCCAAGATTTTACATCACCTTGAAATAGGCATGGTTTGGTCCTACATTGTGAAGAATGACTTTCTTGCAAGTTGTTAAACCTTGAGGGCTATTATTGAAGAGTATCCTTGGCTCCAAAAACACGACCTTGGTGATACCACGCTAATAATGAAAGGAGGAAGGGAAAATGCAGATGAATAACAGCAAATACCTTTTTTTATGTCCAACAAATAATTTAAAATTTTTTTAGCTTCATGGAAATTTCTAAAATATGAGGTGTTATCAGATTTTATGGTATCACATGATCTCACTCATACGTGGACTCTAATGAAAAAAATAAACTGTTGAACAAAATAGATCCAGAGGCATGGAAGCATGGAACAGACTGGAATCTCAGAGAAAAGGCGGGGGTGGGTGGGAAGGAAGAGATCAATCAAAGAACTTATATGCATATATACATAACCCATGGACACAGGCAATAGGGCAGTAAGGCCTGGGGCATGGGTGTGGTCTAAGGCAGTGATGGCGAACCTATGAACTCATTTTTTGGGTTGATTTTTCTTTGTTAAATGGCATTTAAATATATAAAATAAATATCAAAAATATAAGTCTTTGTTTTACTATGGTTGCAAATATTAAAACATTTCTATATGTGACATGGCACCAGAGTTAAGTTAGGGTTTTTCAAAATGCTGACACGCCGAGCTCAAAAGGTTCGCCATCACTGGTCTATGGGGTCAATGAGAGAAAAAAGAGGACATATGTAATACTTTCAACAATAAAGATTTTTTAAATAGAGAAAGGAAAACAGACAAATATTTAAATTGTACTCCTAATATGAAAAAGGCAGGGGGAGTAAGATAACTCTGTGGAGGAAGTAAATCCGTGACTGAGAATCATGTGAATTAATCACTGAAGGAGATGTAAGAGATCATCTACCCAACTGTACAGCGCTACCATGTGCTATCTAAGAGGAAAGAGTTCCGGGTCACCTGACTATGGGAAATAATGTGCCAAATGAAATTATCCAGGCATGGTTCTACTAGATGCCTTCTCACAGCATTTAATATGCTGATAATGTATACTTTGCTTATCTGATAATGAGGAGGAAATTACTGTGATTCACAGAATTACATTGGCACAGGACTCCCTCACCTTACCCCACACAAATCATTTCACAGAACTAATGCATGAGAAAACTTTTTGAAATGTTAATATTACCCACCTTTCCCATTTTACAAGAAAGCAAACCATAGTCAAAAGCAACTAGAACCCAAGTTTTCCAATTCCTCATTCAGTTCTTTTTACACCAGACCTTATTATCTTTATACATGATACATTATTTCTTATTATCTTAGGATGTTTTAGAATATTCTTAAAATTATTTGAAGAACATGTCATGGTAATTGGAATAATAATTTTCAAACAAAGCTAATAGAAGAGGAATTAGTCAAGTCTTTCATAAATTAATGACACACTTGAACATTTTATTTAATCACTTCATGTTGCTCCATCTTTACTTTCTTAAGAGCAACATTTCACAGTCCATTTAACTTTAAGGGCTTTAAAAGTTTACCAAAAAAGAATCTAATTTATTATTCTGATATCTCAAAGTTTAATTCTTAACCAATCCTAGTGTGGAGAAAGTGGAAAGCAAATTTTATCAGAGGGTAATAGCAAATGCTATGGAGGCGGATAGATCTGAATATAAATTCCAACTAGGTCACTTAGTGCATGTGTAAACCTGTATTAGTTCATTAACCAATCAAATCTCCCATATCCTCACCCATCAATTGAGTTATTAGTATATACCTAAGAGTTGTTGTAAGGATTAAATTAAACAATGCATGAACAACACTTAGTATCATGCCTGACACTGTAATTACTCAACCAGTGATACCTATTATTAATGTAACATGGGATGACTATGTGGGCAAAATTTATATTAGTAAATTTGTCAAGCACAAAATATTGAGAGCAGTAGGACACAGCTTATTTCAAGCCTGGAGCAATGGAAATACCATAATATTGTTAGCACAAAAGTCTTAGATTGCTAATTAATTCTAGATAGCAACACATTTTTAGCAAAGTCTTAATTTATGCTAGAGAAGTGGCTCCAAAAAATTATAACATAATTTAGTTAACTAAGTATTGCATACAAAATCAGGTTTTACTAACATAGTATACATATCCAACTACTCTACACACACATATGCCAACCAATTTAGAGCCCTCAAAATAAAACTCATATTCAAGGGAAATCATTACATGTGCAACACATTTTAGTGTCATCGTGTTTCCTTCATCAACTTGAAGAATAAATTCTCCCTTGTCTGGAACACTGAAACCCGGCAGCCATGTTACTTCACATTCCAATGAGGAGTATGGTACAACAATGCCTACAGAGGATTTAGAAAAAATAAGACAGTTCCACATTTTAAATATATATATTTCCATATCCAAAATAAGGGCTTGCATACAAATATAACAACATCATATAACAAATTATTTAAATTAAACTCAAAATATAGGAAAATACTAAGTGAGCGATTATCAAATTAGTATAAACTTATAGTTTGATTAAAATCTAAAATACATATCTTATTTTTCAATTTTAAAAGTCAGATGAAAATATTTGACAAAAAGCATGCCAATATTTCCAAAAAATATAAATTTATCAATGAAACAAACACTCTAGGATTAGAGATGGCTTTATTTATTTTGTTTCTGTTTTTGTTTTAATCCTCACCCAAGGATATTTTTCCATTGATTTTTAGAGAGAGTATAAGAGAGAAGGAAAGACAGAGAGAAACATCAATGTGAGAGAAATTCATCAGTTGGTTGCCTCCTGCGTGAGCCCTGACTAGGGCCCAGTCAGGGGAGGAGCCTGCAACCTAGGTAGGTGCCCTTGACTGGAATCGAACCCAGTACCCTTCAATCCGCAGGCTGACGCTCTATCCACTCAACCAAACCAGCTAGAGCTAGAAATGGCTTTATACATACACAGTCAAAAACCATTTGTGATCCCTGAACAAGTGTCCCCTCCATGTTTCCCAATATTCTGAAATACTTATTAACATCAGACTATTATTCAGTTTTTAGAGGAAGGAATCACCACATGTTCACAACCCTAGAAATGTAACTTCTGATATAGCTATGATTAATCAACACATTTCTATAATTCAAATGTACTGAGAACCCAGGTGGCATTAGGCACATTTAGAGTGAGCTGCTTTATCTGTTTAAATGCATCATCTCCTTTAAAGTAAGAAAATAATACTTTATGGAAAGAATGACTCAGAAGTTCTTAATGAAGAAAGGATCACCTGAGATTCAAAGGCAATGGACAATAAACGGAGAGAGATGAGTGATCGCCACAATCTTTGCTTGGGGTGAGGTTGACTCTCATGTGGTGGTAGTTTCCTCAATCCTAAAAAAGATATAGTGCCTACCTCCTATGACTATGAAGGGAGCTAACAATACATATAAAGGAATTAACATGGTGCACGATGCCTAGAGAACACTCAGTGTCAGATATTATTAATACTCTTGAATGCCAATACAGTAATTTATAAAAAGAATAGAAACTGGACATAGAAGAGCTAACAGTCTAGTGGGAGTCCACTGGGATTAGACTTCTCTATAAGTAACAAAAAAGTCCTGCTACAGTGGGTCAGGAAGATAGGGGTTTGTTTGTCTTATGAAATTAGACATCCACAAACAGGTAGTTCAGGGCTGCCTTAACAGATTGACAAGGCCTTCAAGGAGCAATGCTCTTTCTAGCTTCCCACACTACCATTCCTTACTGTGTGGCCTTCCTTGATGTAGAAAGATAGCATAGTGGTTAAAACAGCACAATTTGTAGGGTCAGACTCCCTGAATTCAAGTTTCAACTTGAGACCTTGGACAATTTACTTAACCTACGTAATAGTTTCCTCAGACATAAAATAGGGATAACTGTATCTAACGCAGAGAATTTTTATAGGGGATTAAATAAGCTAAGATATGTAGAAGTACTTCAGTGTCTGGCACAAAGAAGGTTGGAAATAAAAGAAAATTCTGTCCATGTCTCATTGGCAAGAAGCTTGTGAAAAGAGATTTTTAGATAAAACACTGCTTCACCAAACAAAATGAGGATCCTGTTAGTAAAGGGAATATATATCAGGTATGGGTTTAGCAACATCTACAATAGGAGATGTATAGAAACAAATAATTGTAGATAACATTAAAGAAATACACAGTGGGAGCTGAAAAGGTGGGGAGGGGAGTCTAAATTGGCCTTAGAAAGTGGAGAAAACCCCATTAAAAGAGATGGCATTTGAGCTACAACTCAAGGATGACTAGAGGAGGAAAAGCTGAGGGAAGTGTCAAAGGCAAGTGACAGTGCTAGAAGAGAGAGGTGTGTGGAGAAGATTGTGATGGGAAGTAACATGGACAGAGAAGATTCAATGCTATATATAAAGGCACTTGAACAGGGAACAGGGGACATTAATTGGATGGTTAGACTGAGCAAGATGTCTAAATCAAACAAACAATAAACTATTACCTTTACTTGGACGAATGGAAAATGACATTCCTCTTTCTGTGTTTACTGGTATCCATTCAAAGCGAACAAGATAATTCTGATGATTATGCAATGTGACTGTCTCCCTAAAACATGTTTTCAACAAGAAGCCATGTGGTTTTAACACTACCTCATCGGAAGATAGCTCAAGTCTTACTGGCATGATATTTGCCCTCACTAGGAGGTGCCCACCAGGTATATTGTTCACTCTAAAGGTAAAAGACCTGTAACACAACAAAAGCATCGGAATTTAACTGATAATAACTATTTGCAATTATAGAATTAAGTTACATGTAAAAATGCACATACTGATGACTAACATCCTCAATTCTTAACAAAATATCAAACTAATCATGAAAGAAGACTACAACTGAAATATGAGTCTATAAATCTACAAATTGATACATATATAGTTTCTATGTTTGAGGATCAAATATAATATATACTATTAATTATTAGGGCAAATAAAAACATATCCTATAATAGGACACTTTGATTCTAGCAAATAGAAATTTGAAAATAAATCATACTTCCAAAATTTTCCAGCAGTGGAAGAATGGAATATAACTGAAATATGAGTACTGGCTGAAGGTGGAATCACATATGAAAATTGTTTGGTTTTCTGAAGTTCTTTCAAATTAACATCTAAATGGAGCAAAATATACTTAGGTAGCATATTAACAACATGCAGTCGATGAGTATTTATGGAGTTCACACAAATATCACCAAAATTAAGGACAGAGGGCCCTAAAAAAAGAAAAGGTATTAAGTTTAATATTGGCAACTGTTCATTTTTATAAAGTTTTCATAGTATATTTTGATCAACTTATAAAAAATGGTACTCAGAAATATATTCATTGTAATGTCAAAAATTATTGACCAAGTTTTTATCCAAATGTCCATAATTTGCTATTTAGAGGTTACTGGTTAATATTCAATATAATTATATTCTGATTACATGGAAAATTATTAGCACTCATTATAACTCATCTTAGTACATGAATTTTCATACACCAACACCGTTTCCACTCTCAATACATTTATGTTCATTTATCCAGAATTTACAAAAATTGGTAATTTTCCCAGGAATTATTGCTTATGTTTTCTCTTTGAATGCCTAAAGGTTTTATATCATAACAATTTTTTTTTAATCCTCACTGGAGGATATTTTTCCATTAATTTTTGGAGAGAGTGGGAGGGGGAGAGACAGAGAGAGAGAAACATCCACGAGAGAGACACACATCAATTGCTTGCCTCCTGCAAGTGCCCCGACCTGGGCCTGGGCCAGGGAGAAGCCTGCAACCAAGGTACATGACCTTGACCGGAATCAAACCCAGGACTCTCTATTATAACAATTTAAATAACTATGTCTTATCCTGCTTTATTTTTTAACAGATTGATTTAATTATAACTGATACACAGTAAACCATATATGCTTATAAGTGTAGAATTTCATAAGTGTTGACTTGTCTACTCCTGGGAAAAAACCACAATGAAGAGAGTGAATATCCATCATTTTAAAAAGTTTTCTTTTAAAAATATGCCCCTTTATATTCTCCCCCTCCCACCATCCTCTGTATTCTCCTTTCCCAGACAACCACTCATCCTCTTTATGTCACTGTAGATTAGTTTGCATTTTCTAAAGTTTCATATGAGTGGAATAATACAGAGTTGTACAGTTTTTCTCTGATTTCTTTCACTCAGCAATTCCTTGGAGATTCATTCATGCTGTTTCATGAGTCAATAGTCCATCCCTTTATATTACTAAGTAGTAGTCTATCATAGGTGAATGTTTGTTTATTCACCTGTTGATTGTCACTTGGATTGTTTCCAGATATTGGCTATTACAATCAAAGCGGCTAAAACCTTTGTGTATAAATATTTGTTCGAACATATACTTTTATTTCTTTTGGATAAATATCTGAAAACGGAATGGATGGATCATATGATACACATATGTTTAAATTATGAGAAACTGGCAAACTGTTTTAAAGTAGTGGGTAATTTCACATCCCCCACCTAGCCATATATAAAAGTCCAGTTCCCTCACATCTCCAACAACAACTGAAATGGTGAGCTTTTTTCTTTTAACTTAAGCCATTCGAATAGATTTATCTCCCTGTGGTTTTATTTTATTTCCCTAACAACCAACAATGTTGTGCATCATTCTATGTGCCTACTTGTCAGCTGTAGCTTTTGATTAATGAACTATCTATTCAAACCCTTTGCCCATTTTAATTGGGTTGTTTGTTTTCTCAAAATTGAGTCTCAAAAGTTTTATATACATTCTGGTTGCAATTCTTTAATCAGATATATAATTTGCAAATATTTTCTCTCAATCTATGGTTTGTTTTTATCCTCTTATTAGTGTCTTTTGAAGAGCAGATGTATTTAAAGTTGATCAATCCCTATTTATCCATTTTTTCTTTCATGGATCGTATTTTTGTGTGATATCTAAGACATTTTTGCTTTCCCCATGATCACAGACATTTTTTCCTATGCTTCCTTCTATAGGGAAGCACATGGATGATGATGTATTTTTATTTAGTTCTGGTATATGATGTAAGACATAGATACAAATTCTAGTTTTTCGTTTTTATTTTTTTAGTGTATGGCTCATATGTTCCAGCACTTCTTATTAAAAAAGACTATCCTTAAAAAAAAGGAAACCAATAAAAAATAAAATAAATAAAAAGACTATCCTTACTGCACTTCATTGCTTTTGTTCCTTTGTCAAAATTCAGTTGTCTAATATGTGTAGGTCTATTTCTGAACACTCACTTATGTTTCATTGGTCTATGTATCTATAATTATGCCAGTGTCACGCTGTATTCCTTACTGTAGCTTTGTAATTAATCTTGAAACCAGGTACTGTTTTATCTCCAATTTGTTTTCCTATTTCACAGTTGTTTTGACTATTATCATGTTTCCATAGTGTAGTGGTTATCACGTTCACCTCACAATTGTTTTGACTATTATAATTCTTTTGCTTTTCCAAGTGATTTTAAAATGAACCTGTCAATTTCTACAATAGATACTGATGGAGCTTTGACTGGAATTGGGTTGAACCTACAGATCATATGGATCATTTTTTCATGTCTTTTATGTCTCTAAATAATTATTTTAATATGTGGAAGATAATTATAAAAACCCTTTAATGTCCTTGTCTGACAATTCTAACATATATATCAGTATTGGGTAGGTTTAATTGATGCATTATTCTCCTTATTAGGGGTTGTTTTGCCTCATGCCTAGTAGTCTTTGTTTGGATGTCAAATATAGTATTTACCGTATTATGTGCTAGATATGTTTTGTACTCCTATAAATATTCTTGAGCTTTGTCCTGAAAGTTACTTTGAAACTGATAGATCCTTCCTGGCCTTGCTTTTATGAAAGTTACCTGAGACCAGAGCAGTACTCTGAATAGTAATAATGATTCTCCACTACTGAGACAAGAACTTCTGAGTACTCTGCCCCAATGTCCTATGAATTATAAGGTTTGTTTGTTTTGTCCAGTTTGCCAGGTGGGAACTTTCAGTCACTACTCCTGACCTGTGTGAACACCGGGTGATTCTATAAACCTTTGAAATGGTTTTCCCCCTAGCTTTACCTAATTTCCTAACAATACCATTAACTAATAGGAACCTAATTGACATTTAAAGAACCTTCAGCAGGATACAACTTATTGTCAAGCCACATGAACCTCAATAAGAGAGACCACATCCAGGATCAAACTTAACAAATCTTCAAAAATTAAAACAATTGAATCCATACATGTGTGCACTCTGACCAAATAGAATCAAACTAGAAAATAGTAGTAGAAAGAAAACAGAAAAATCTTTGAATATAAATAACACACTTCTAAATAGCCAATGAGCCAAAGTAAATGTTTCAACGGAAATTAGGTAATAACGAAGTAAAAGAAATTAAAAATATGTAAGAATATGTGGGATGTAACTAAAGTACTGCTTAGTAAGACATGTATAGCAATAAATCACTATATCATGGAAAAAATGGTCTAAATCAATAATTTAAGATTCCACCTCAAGAAACTAGAAGCAATGCAACCTAAATAAAAATCTAAAGCAAACAGAAGGAAATGATAAATACAAGAGAAGAAGTCACTGAAATTAAAAACAGAAAACTTATAGAGAAAAATCAATAAAACTAAATGCCGGTTCTTTGAAAAGAACAATAAAATTGATAAACCTAGACTACCAAGACTGAAAAAGAAAAATAAGAAAGAAGACATACATTTCCAGTAGTAGGAAGGTAACAGGCTCTCTATCATTACAGATGCTGCTGACTCAAACATTAAAAGGATAATTTGTGAATGCTACAAATAACTCTATACATATAAACATGAAATCTTAGTTGGAGGGGATCTATTCTACAACAAAACAACAAAAAATACACACACTACCAAAACTCTCTTAAAATGGCATAGATGATCTGAATAGACCTACAACTATTAAAGAAATTGAATTTGTAATTACACATCATCTGAAAATGAAATCTTACTCAGATGGTATCTCTGAAGAAGTCTAACATATAAAGAATGCTCCTCAATCTCTTTTAGAATGTAGTAGAGGAAAGAACACTTCCTAACTGTCCCAGCTCTGTTTAGGAGGCCAATAGTACTCTAATGGCAAAACAGAGACAGAAAAAAAATCAAAGCAAAAATGCAGACATATATTTTATGAAAACAAATGCAAAATTCTATTATGATTTAACATACTACGAGGTAGAGAAAAAGGAAATTGGTTAAAAAAAAAAAAGCTGAGAAATACACTGTAGAGAAAAACATTGATTGTGAAAAGGAATGAGCCCTGCCTGACTGGGTGGCTCATCCGTTTGGAGCTCTGTCCCATACAGAGAAAGGTTGCAGGTTTGATTCCCGGTCAGGACTCATACATAGATTGCAGGTTCAATCCCTGGTTGGGGCATGTACGGGAGGCAACCAATCAATGTCTCTCTCTCTCTCTCTCTCTCTCTCTCTCTCTCTCACCCCTCCCTCCCTCCTTTCCTCTCTCTCTAAAATCAATAAAACATATCCTCAGGAGGGGATAAAAAAATGAGAAGAGAAATCAAGACAGAAAATGTGGCAAATCCTCTCCCTCCCCTCAATATTTGAGCAATTTGATTAAACTGTTTCACCTCTGGGCTTTGCTTTACTCACCTCTAAAATGGAAATAAAATAATTTACCTCATAAGTTATTTATGTTATTTAAAGGTCTAATAAGATCCTGTTTGTAAATTATTCAACACAATGATTGGCTTATAATGCATCAATAAACAGTAGCTTAAAAAATAAATAAATAAATGGTAGCTTAAAACCAAAATGACTGGACATATGCTAATGAAACAAACAATACCTCACGCAACTTCCAATGTAACCCAGACTTCTATAATAGTTTTAACTAATTGACTCAATTAATCTCCAAATCCTCTATTGTATCTCTTGACAGCCATTTCAATTTTTAAAAATATGGTAACTATAGAGCAAAATTTTCTTTAACTAAAATATCTTCTGTGAGTACCACACCCTGTTCTGTGCATAGACTGGGAAAGCAACCTTTAAGGTATAAAAGTGAGAGTGACCCTTGAAGAGAAACAGAATAATTGACCCCAAAATGTCACATTAGCATGTGGATTATTTTGAGCTGAAGGCAATTAAGACCCTGCAGACTCAAGAGAAACTTTTACCTCTCTTGACTACCTAAAGAACTCAGAGGGCCTTGGCTCAGAGAAAGAGCTATTACCAGAGATAACTTTTATCTGAATGACCTGTCTATGTAGCAGGGCAAACATCTGCTCTTCTGGTCCTATGAATTACCCTTCTCTCCTTTGAAGCTCCAGGCTCCTAACCCATTCCTCAGCTCATGATAGCATATAAGCCTCAACTGTCTGACTTTTTCTTGGGTTTCATATGTGGCCCAGTGCATGAATTCGTGCACCTTGAAAGGAACTGTGGGCCACGAGGCTGCGGTGGGCACAGGGGCGGGTCTCAGCCCATCCTCCATGCCCCCACCCAGCCCCTCCCACTATGGCCCCCTGGCCCCATCTGCTGGCAGCCCCGCTGCTGCTCCCACACACTGACAGCACCAGCCCTGCTTGCACCTGCTGATGGCGAGGAGCAATTTGGGCTGGCGCCAGCAGCAGGTGCTAGCAGGGCCAGAGCCATCAGCAGGTTCAAGCAGCAGCTGCTGCCCTGATCAACCCTCAGGAACAGGGGGAGGGGAAGAAGCCCTCAGGGGCGATAGGGGCCGGTTGCTCGCACCTGCTGATGGCGCCGAGTGATGGGGACTGGTGCTGGGCGCCAGGAGCGGGTGCAAGCTGCAGCTGTGGCACAGGCTGCGGGTGTGAGCGGGGCCAGCACTGGCAGTGAGTGTGAGCAGTGGCTCCAGCACCAGCAGCGGGTGCGAGTGGGGCCATTGCCAGCAGCGGGTGCGAGAGGCGGCTGCTGGCCCCGATCACCCCTCAAGAGCAGGGAGAGGTGGAGAAGCCCTGAGGGGCTATCGGGGCCAGCAGCCGTCTCTTGCACCCACTGATGGCCCTGAGCAATTGGGGCCAGCAGCAGGTGCAAGCGGGGCCAGCGCCAGCAGCAGGTATGAGCGGGGGGGGGGGGGGGGGACTGTGGCACGCCAGAGCAAAGAATTTTCAGTAACCACCAGAGGCTCGCCCTGATGATAGCGACCAGCACCTCACCTTGATCTGGCGCCCCCACTCACCTGCTCCACCATCCTGCTGTGGCCAATGCCCACCATGTTCCGCACGTGCCCCCTGGTGGTCAACACACGTCATAGGAACCGGTTGTTCAGTTGTTCCACCGTTAGGTCTATTTGCATATTAGCCTTATTATTTAGGATGGTGCTCCCATATGTATGAAACTAAATTTATTTTTCTCCTAATAATCTGTCTTAGGTCAATTAAATGAAGAAACCAGCTAAAGAACTCAAAAGTGTAAAATAAAAATTTTTCCTCCCCTACACCATCCTGCCAATTTCATAAACTGCCTCCCCCATACATGCTTCCTCCAACTGATTTAAAATTCCCATCATCAGAGTTGCTGACCTTGTAAACTCAGACAGGTGCCCTGCTCCAGAGGGCCATTATTAGAATGCCTAGGACAGCAGGTGAAGAAGGGAGAGAAGTTGGTGGAGGAGTTGTAGAACAGGCAGTGGACACTGTAATCTCTAACTTTGCTCCTTTTGCATTTGTATAGATCTGATCATCTGACAAGTCACCAATGTGGAAGACAGATAGCATTTACCACCCAATAGTAAGAGGTAAACTCATGGGACTATAATGCCCAGTGCCTATCTACATGCACAAAATGGAAGCACAGTAAATGATATTTAATCACATTCCATTGCTTTGCCTCTGATCTTGTACATATTTTGATGTCTCCTTTAATCTGGATAATATCAGAGTTGGTATTCGGGATTTTTGGGCTGTATTTTCCCTAGAGGGAGACAGGACATCCATACCAATTAATCATCTTCTTCCCGAATCTCAGGCCACCCTAGGCCTGCATAGAAGGAAATGGGAATTCCCTCTTCAGACCACTATCATCATTATTTCTTTAACTGTAATCATCCTTTAACAGCCTGGGTGAAAATTATCTAGGGAAGGGCACAGCATAACATCTCTGCAAGGTTAAGAAGGAGTTGTCATTTGTTTCCTAACTCATGACTAGAGATGTTGTCAAAACACATTGTTGGGACTGTAATTTGGTGAGTTCATTTTAGAAAAATTTTTGGCAGTTATTTAAGTTAGACATAAACTTACCATACAACCCAGTAATTCCACTTCTAGGAATCTAACCAACAGAAATGAAAACAACTGGTGTGTCTCAGTGGTCAGAGTGTTGGCCTGTGGACCCAAGGGTTGCGGGTTCAATTCCTGATCAAGGGCACATAGCTGAGTTGCAGGCTTGATCCCTGGCCCCAGTCAGGGCATGAAGGAGACAACCAACAGATGTGTCTCTATCACATTAGTCTTTCTCGCTCTCTCTTCCTTTCTCTCTCTCTCTCCTCCCCTCTCTTCTCCTCCCTTCCACTCTCTCCAAAAATCAATGGGAAAAATATCCCTGGGTGATAATTGTATGTGAATGTTTATAGCAGCATTATTCACAATAGCCTCAAATTGGAAACAGGTCAATGTCCATCAAATGTTAAATGAATAAATAAAATGTGGTATTCTGATGAAATGAGATACTATTAATTTTTTTTTAATTTTTGTTAATCCTCACCTGAGGATATTTTTTATTGATTTTTAGATAGAGTGGAAAGGAGGAGTAGAGACAGAGAGAAACGTAGATGTGAGAGAGGCACATTGACTGGTTGCCTCCCACACACCCCTGACCAGGGCTGGGGATTGAGCCTGCAACCAAGGTATGTGTCCTTGACCAGAATAGAACTCGGGACCCTTCAGTCTGAGGGCCAACATTCCAAACACTGGGCCAAACTAGCCAGGGCAAAATTAGATACTATTTAGATATTTTTTAAAAAATGTATACCTACGCTTTAGCCAGTATGGCCCAGTGGATAGAGCGTTGGCCTGCAGACTGAAGGGTCCTGGGTTTGATTCCAGTCAAGGGCATGTACCTCGGTTGCAGGCGCCTCTCCAGCCCAGGCCTTGGTTGGGGTGCATGAAGGAGGCAACCAATCGATGAGTTTCTCTCAGATCGCTATTTCTTTCTGTCTTTCCCCCTCCCACTCTCTCCAAAAATCAACGGAAAACTAACCTCGGGTAAGGATTAAAAAAAAAAAATGTATAACCTACTACCACGTGGATGAACGTCAAAAACATTAGCTAAGTAAAAGAAACAATATAAAAGAGAACACATTGTATTATTCATTTTATACAAAATATTTAGAACAGGCAAATCTAGAGATAGAAAGTTTATCAGTGGTTGTCTGGGGATAGGACTGGGAATATGGAGTAACTAGCTACATTTGTCAGAGTGATGGCAGCATTCTAAAATTGCGTTGTGATGATGATTGCATAACCCTGTAAATTTACTAAAATTCATTACTTGCATACTTTAAACTGGTAAATTTTATGGAATATTAATTGTACTTGAATACATCTGTTAAACAAAAACATTAGTAGGTATTTATAAATTCTTACCAACGATTACTTGATGAATTTGCTTTGGTGTCAAAATTAATTTGCAATCACGTTTTTCAGGAAGTGTGGATGGGGTCGATTTAAGTGCTTTGATAACCTGTGAAAAATCAAATTATTCCAAAATTAATTGCTCAATATTAGCAAAAAGTAATTTAAGAATTCTTATGGCATAATCAAAAGTAAAATATTGCACATGCCTTTCTTTCTAGAGCCTTTGCTTCCTTGGTTTCTATATTCCTGGTACACAGCATTTGGTAAGGTTTGACACTTTGTATTAAAGGTGGGACCACTACTTGCAAATCCGATTGTAAGAGTGCGGGTGACTTCAGACCTGAAGCTGGATATAATCCTATGTCTAGATCGTCATATGCATACACTTCTTCCTTGCTGAAATCATAATAATAACAAATTGAGGCCAAGTCTTTTAGAAACTACATCTATAAACTCAAATTTTCCTCCTATTGCAGGTTATTGCTGCCCCACTGAAGCAGACTGATGTATTAATCTTCATAAAAATGCCCTCTGGAAAAAAAAAAAAAAAAGCCGAAACCGGTTTGGCTCAGTGGATAGAGCGTCGGCCTGCGGACTGAAAGGTCCCAGGTTCGATTCCGGTCAAGGGCATGTACCTGGGTTGCGGGCATATCCCCAGTAGGGATGTGCAGGAGGCAGCTGATCGATGTTTCTCTCTCATCGATGTTTCTATCTCTCTATCTCTCTCCCTTCCTCTCTGTAAAAAATCAATAAAATATATTTTTAAAAAAATGCCCTCTGCTGAGGAGACCCCACTCTCAAACACCTCCCCAAAGAAGTTATGCTCACCCCACCACACTCAGGAATAGCTCACAGTCAACAACTGATATGGAGCACAAAAGCAAGCCGCTTTGGCTTAAGGCAGGAACAACTATGGTTTATAATTTATGTTCAACAGACCCTAGGCACCAGGCTGAGTTTAAACTTTATTTGAAACACACCATTCTTCAATTCCCTCCCTTGCCCTAGCCTGCCTCTCTCACACTGTACACATTTCTCCTAAAAGAACACTCTGAAAAGCTCGTGCTGGCATCCCTGTCTTAGGATCTGCTGCTGGGGAAACGCATACCAGATATTCCCAAATTAAAGGTGAGAAAGTAAGTCATTACAATTAAAGTAGTTCAAGGTTTTACTATTTTCATATATGAAAAAGTCATCTGAATCACTAAAGAGAAACTAAGGAGTAAAGAAAAAAAATCTGGGTCTATAGGCATCACAATCTGGGTCTCATATTGCTTAGGGAAGTGAACTTTACCTCTTCCCTGTTTTTTTCTGCAGGCGTGCCTTCCTTAAAGAGTCAATGTAGTTTTTATAATAGTCTTCATGTGCTTTCTTCTGTAGTACTTCAGAATCAGTATACGTAAACTCAGTATCCACATAGTTATGCCTTGGAACCTTTGTGAAAATCGTCCTACAATATGAGCAAGTCATGTTAATATTTTCATACATGCATTTATTTGATCAGTATTTATTGAGTGGCACCTATACCATGGATTAGGCATAAAATGGTGAATAGGACAGATTCTAGTCCTTTATCTCATATCCTATTATATATCAAGACATTTTTACACAGAGAACTACGATAACATTTATAGTTTCCTTCTTAACCAAATCATAAAAAATTTAATGGCCGCTACCCTGAACCCACTCTTGGGGAATTAGTCAAGTAAACAATTTAGAGAATTCTAGATTACAGATAGGAACAGATCTGAATCGGATTAGTGTTATATTTCATATTCACTAACTGGGCTCATGCTTTTCCTTTTTACCCACCACATATTTTTCACACACAAAAACAAAAAGTATAATTATTCATATCTTCCGGCCTTGATCTACCTCAATTCTCAGCAAATTTTATTAAGCAGATTCTCATCCTCAATAATTAACTCATTAAGTATGATCCCATTACAGCAGGCTAACCTTATCCATGGTTTCACTTTCCACAGTTTCAGTTAACCATAGTCCAAAAATATTCAATGGAAAATTCCAGAAATAGACAATTCATAAGTTTTAAATGTCAGGCTCTTCAGCATAGCGCAATGAAACCTGGAGCCTTCCCACTCCATTACACCCTGGAAGTGAATTACCCCTTTGTCCAGTGTATCCATGCTGCATATGCTCCCCACCTGTCACACTATAACCTTCTTGGTTTATCAGATCAGTTATGAGAGAGAGAGAAAACACAAGGGAGCACATTCACACAGGTTTTATTACAGTATATTGTTATCATTGCTCTATTTTATTAGTTACTAGAGGCCCAATGCACGAATTTGTACACAGGTGGGGTCTGGCCAGCTGGGCCCTGATTGGGGCCCAATCAGAGCTGGGGGGGAGGGGCGGCAGGTGATTGGTCGGCAGGCTCCACCCCCAATTGGGATGGGGGGCCCATCAGGGATGGAACTGGCTGGGGGAAGGGGATGCAAGCCAATCAGGGTGGTGGGGGCTGATCGGGGGTGGGGCCGGCCAGGGGAAGGGGCTGTGGGTGGTGGGCAGGCAGGCCCCGCCCCAGAATGCAGTGTGGGGAGCCAATCGGGGGCCAGCAGCTGGGGGAAGGGGCTGTGGGTGGTTGACTGGCCGGCCCCACCCTAATTGGGGTGGGGGGCCGATCTGAGGTGGGGCCAGGTGGGGGAAGGGCTGCAGGAGGTTGACCAGCCGGCCCCGCCCCCTACTGAGGTAAGGGGGGCAAATGGGGGTGGGGCCAGCTGGGGGGGAGGAGCTTCAGGAGGTTGGCCGACTAACCCCATCCCTTATTGGGGGGGGAAATCAGAGGCGGGGCCATCCCAAGGAAGGGGTTGCAGGGGTGTTGGCCAGCTGCCCCACCCTTGATGGGGTGGGAGAGGCCAATTGAAAGCAAGGCTGGCCTGGAGGAGGGGCCACGGGAGGTTGGCTGGCCAGCCCCACCCCAGTTCGGGCTGGTTTGCTGGCCGCAGTGGGCATCATAACAACCAGTCATTCCGGTCATTATAGCATTCTGGTTGCTGGCTTTTTATATAGATAGATTGTTGTTAATCTCTTACTGTGTTTTTATCATAGGTATGCATGTATAGGACAAACTCTAGCATATATAGAGCTTGGTACTATCCATGGTTTCAGGCATATGGGGGAACTACTATAGTCATACAGTCAAATGAAATTTAATCTAATATTTCTCCTTATTTTCAACAATTCCTCAATACTTACACTCAGACTGCTTTAACTCTAAGTTAAAGTCATTAAGAGAGTGAAGCAATAAGAGAGAAACAAATGCTTTGTTATTCAAGATAGTTGATATTAAAATTTCCCTTTCAACTCTGTGAATCTTAACCACCTTTAGAACCTAGAAATAATTCCTATTTGTGAAGTTCCTGTCTGTAACAAGAAGGATGGACTTGGAAAAGAGTACAGTAGCCCGTAGTTATTAACTGAGGATACACTATTATAGGAAACTAGAGGCCTAGTGCAAGAAATTCGTGCACAGGTAGGGTCCCTAGGCCTGGCCAGTGATCAGGGCTGATCTGTGGGGCGACCGGCAGGGTAATCAGGACCCTGCTTGCACCTGCCTTCACCTGGTGCTGCCCACTCATCAGCCCCGCCCCCCACCACTGCCACCAGTCACCTCCCTCTGTGGGGCAACTTGTGGGGAGATCGAGGGAGGGTGGCCCTGCTCGCACCTGCCTTGGCTGTCCTGGCACCACCCATTCGCTGGCCCCACCCCCCACCACTGCCACCAGTTGGGGCCTGGGGGCTGGGGGCAGCTCCTGCGTTGAGTGTCTGCCCCCTGGTGGTCATTGCACGTCAGCGACTGGTGGTTCCACCGGTCGTTCTGCCATTCTGTCTATTTGCATATTAGGATTTTATACATACAGATGCCTGAAGTGACAAAGAGCTGGCTATTAATATATCTAAGTGATTATCAGCTCCTGAAAAGCTTAACTTCAACATATACCTCTGCAGCTTTGAGTAGGTGATTTTTTTTATGTGTAAATTACAGGGGACAAAAATTACAATGTAAATAAAACATTTTAACTGATTTATTTATTAAAAAATATTTACTGAGTGCTCACTATATGCCTGACACTATTCTAAGTACAGGACATACTGCAGTAAACAAAAACTAGACAAAAATTTCTATCTTATTTTCTTCTAAAAATCTGAAAAAGTAAAAGTGCATTGAAAATAAAACAGGAATAATAATTAACAATGATTTAATATACTAAAAATTTTCATTACTTAGTTACTAATTGCTAGCCAGAAAATAACTGGACAAAATTTTGCCCATTTCTATTAGTATGGAAAACAGTGAATTGAAAAAAATAATTATGGTCATGGAATAAATAGGAAATACTTAGCCTTCTTCAAAAAAAATTGTGGTATTTTTAGACCATCTGCTTAATAATAATTTAGACAGAAATAAAATGTTAACATTAATACTTTATATCTCTATAAAGATATATGTAAGCATAGGAAAGAATTTAAAAGAACACGCTAAAAAACTTTCCTGCAGCTACCACTACAGGGTGGGATGGAGTATAATGAATCACAGGGAGAGATAGGTTTTCCTTTTTTATTATATATATTTACTTAAAATGTAATCTGAGTGATTTTTATGCTTCTGTATTTTATGGTACTTGTCAAATAAAAAAGAGAAAGGCTGATATGGATGGAAGTGTAAAATAAATTAGTAAAACAGACTATATAAAAACCCAGAATTTTCCAACTGTGAAGAATAAAACAATTATGGCTTACAAATCAAATGGTATTGCTGTAAAATTAAGGGAGCTTAATCCCTCACCAAAGGTAGAGACAAGTAGAGAAAGTCAGAGGAGGGATATTATCAAGTTTAGATAGTCTAGTAGTAGCATATAAGCAGGCAGAAAAGAAACCCATTTCAGTGTCAAATGTATAAAAACCATTCTTAATCTAATGGCCCAGATAAAGATGTCAGGATGCCTGAGTTTCTTCTAAGTATTGGTAAGGAAGTAATTTATTTGAGGTTTAGATAAATTTAAATTGAGGTTTAACATCACTTATGATCCTAATTAGGGAAGTTTTAGCTCAATTTGGAAAATGTTATTGGAAGCCTGACTTTGAGGGGATGGAACAAAGATGATGATGATAGTGATCATGAGGATGAGGATGATTGATGATGGTGATGATGAAGCTGCCGCTAACAATGAGGACAACTGGTTTTTCACAATTTTAAATGTTTTTTTAATCTTAGATAAATTCAAGCTTTTGGACAAAGTTAATGACTTTGAGGCCTTCATAGAGTTCCAAAGGTGATTATTTCTATTACCTATATATATAAAAGGCTAAGTGACCATCCAACCATCCAACTGGTAGCTATGATGCACAATGACCACCAGGGGGGCAGACTCTCTGACCAGTAGCTATGATGTGCAGTGACCAACAGGGGGCAGACGCTCAATGCAGGACCTGCAGACCTGTGGTGACTTGGCAGCAGCGGTTCTCGGGTGATGCACCCCGGAACCAGAGACAAGGGGACCCTATTCTGGGGTGCGTCACCTGAGAACCACCCTCTTGCAATCCGGGATCCCTCCGGGGATATCAGAGAGCTGGTTTCGGCCTGATCCCTGCAGGCCATGCTGAGGGACCCCACCTGCCAGAAGGACCCCACTCACTCTGCAGACACCCTTCAAGCCACAGTGCTGCCCCAGGTGTGGCCAGTCAGGAAGAGACCCCAGGAGGTTGGCTCCAGAGTGTGTCTGGCCTGTCTCACCCAGTCCCGCCCTCCCAGCCACCTTTTAATTAATTTCCTTTCAATGTGCACGAATCTGTGCACTGGAGCACTAGTTATTCTATAATTGTCAACAGCATATTTTAAGAATAATCTGGCAAACCTTTCACTTCCTGGCAAGTACAGAGTAGAGGTGATAAAAGGTTAGATAAAGCAAATACAGTATCATTCAACAACCATCTCTAATGGAAAAAAAAAGATAAATTTTATTACTATCATCATCAATACCATCATTATTATGATTACCATTATTAATTTATTACAGCGGTATATGGTAAAACTTCTGCATATCCTGTTGGTCACTGACTCTTTCAAAATTTCAGGCTTTTAATATAGCATGTTACCTGAAATGTTTATCCTGGTCTCCAGGCCTGATACTTGCAGTTCGGTCATTGGGAAAGGCTACCAGAGCATCCTGCACTGACTCTTTACTTGGCTTATGATTGTGAATGGTTGTCAAGGCTGATTGAAGCATTGCAACAGGAGCACATTCCTTGTATTTTGTCAAATCTTTGACCACAAACTGGCCCGTAGGATTAGTGGCGATAGGGGATATGCCTTTCATAGAAATGGACATTAAATTTACATATATCTTATTTCAGTTTTCCAAAAGACATCCATGAGTTAGTTAATGCACTACTAGACCATTGGTTATAAACTAAAGCTTATCCCTAAATAAATAAACATACAGGCAGTCCTCAGGTTACGTTGGACTCAAAATACGTCGTTTCGTGGTTATGTCACCATCTCCCATTTATTTATTAAAAAAAAAGTTCCATCATTTCAAGGTATGTACACATGTGCCTTATGTTTTTTATTATTTATTTACCACAAGTAAAGGTCAGGAATTGTTATCTTTCTTTTAAATTTTTTTTTTACTGTTTCACTTCATTACTGCTGTGTATGTGCTCCATGTGAGTGGCGTAGGTGCTTATGTAGGTGGGTTCCGACTTACAGTGAAAATCGCATTTACGTCGCGCCATAGGAACGGATCTCCACCATAACCCGAGGACCTACTGTACTCAGAAAGTACAAATTATTCATTTAATAAATGGACCTAAACAAAACACTGTAGTAAAATGATGAATGCATGAAAAATAAACATGGTAACTGAAGGATTGTGTGGCCCACGTGAAACAAATTTGTACAGGTTAAAAAATTAAATATCAGCAATTTCCTATGGTACAATGTATAAAAGATAACTGAGGATTAGATAAAACAACAAGAATATCCATGAAATGGCCAAAACCAATTTATATTATACACTCATACCAAAAGTAGAAGAATAAAATAGAAAAACCATTAAAATATTCAACAAATTTCATAGATCATTAAACCAGTATATTCAAAAGTGTGACACTCAAAATGGCAATATCAGCATCTACTGGGAACATGCTAGAAATGCCAATCTTTGGGCTCCAACGATGACCTACTTAATAATCAATGCTGGGATATAGGCCAGCAGTATCTACTTTACCAGACCTTCTGGTGATTTTGAGGCATTCAAAGGTAAGAATCACTAGATCAGACCACATTTGACATATAGACCTGAACAATTAGCATATTAAGATAATCCTGTATTAACCTATTACAAAAAAAAAAAAAAAAAGGTAAGGATCCATGATAGCTTACCAGGATTAATTTGAAACACAACTTTCTTGTTGGAAATTTTGCAGACACCCTTGAAAACTAAATGTATATGATAAAAAGGTCTCAGCAATAAAGACTGAAAATTTTTATCTGCCACTGGGCCAATAAAGTCTATGTACTGCTTCACTGTAAAGGCTCCAACTTGATGTGGCATGAATGAACATGTCACTTCCTAAAAAAAAAAAAGAAAAAAAAGAAAACCAGTTGTTATAGGCTAAATGTTTGTGAACCCCCAAAACTCATGTTTAATCCTAATGCCCAATGTGATAGAATTAGAAGATGACATGAGTAGGTCATGAGAACAGAGCCCTCCTGAGTGGAATTAGTGTTCTTATAAAAAAGAGGCCCCATAGAGTTCCCTAGTCCCTTCTACCATGTGAGAATACATGGGCTGCAACCAGGAAAAGGGCCCTCACCTGACGATATTGGCTGATCTAGGACTTTCAGCCTCCAGAACTGTGAGAAATAAACTACACAGTCTAAGATAGTTTGTTATAGCAGCCCAAATGGATTAAGAAAATAATACTGTACTATTAGAAAAAAAAAAAATCCAAAAAAACAGTTTATAAAATTTTGAGAGCTAGTTCATCATGGAGATATTTGAGTTATTTAGAAATATATGCAGTATTGAGAAATCTTTGTAATACATATTATTAGAAAATTATTTAAGAAAAAATTAAGAACAATGGTACTTAAGCATTTCTAGAATGGCAGATTAAGGACCTCCAGAATTCTACTCCTCTACAAACAGAAAAAAGACCACTGGAATAAATGTGAAAATCAAGTTCTCAGTTATTTGAACATTACCTAAAAGCTTGCAAAAAACAAATGAGTATTTATTTAAGAACGAAATGGCTGAATATCTGAAAAAATAAAAGGTTTTGTGGCATTTTTACTTCCTGTAATCCCATTCCCCTAATCCCAGTTCTGTGCTCTCCTCTGAAAACTGAAAGGACAGAGCAGGACTGATGGCTGTGTCCTTAACCCCTCTTCCAAGAAAAAGCCGCAGGGTGTATCAGTTACTCAGCCTGCCCTTATCCCAGCCAATGGGAAAGTGGGGGAAACTAGCCCAAGGCCAAAAGTATGCTGGCCACCCCCCCTGTCTTTGTGTAACCAGACCCTAGCTGCACCCTGCCCCCGACCCCAAGCCCTATAAATTCTTTGTTCTCTTGGGATTTGGGGCTCTCTCTTGCACCCAGTAATGGAGGCAGGGGGGGGACCAAGCGAGCTTGTATAAGAGACCCTCTGCTTTTGCATCGGACTGGCTCCCTGGCATGGTTTTTTGGGGATCTTGAAATCTGGGCATAACATTTTGGGGGCTCATCCGGGATCCCTAACACCATCGAGGGCTCCCCCAGTCCGGAGGGCCTGATTGACCGCGGTAGGTCCTGTTTGTGTTGTGTGTGTTTTGTTGTGTTTTGTATCTATCTTGTGTGAGCTCACTTCTGAAATCTGTAATCATAATCGCCCGCACAATCTAGGGGATCAAGGGTGGGAGGAGTTGGGGGACACCTTGATCCTCCATCTGGAGGGGTATAGCTTTGCTTCCGCGGAGTCGGAAGGTCTGTAGAAACCCCCTCAATCTGAGACGGGTGGAGGAGTTGGGGGACGCCTCGATCCTCCATCTGAAGAGGGGAAATTTTGCTTCCGCGGAGTCGGAAGGTCTGTAGGAACCCCTCAATCTGAGAAAAGGCGGGTCGCTCCCGCTGGTTGGCGCGCAGCCATCGTCTAGCTTTCGGTTTTTGCTTCCATGGAGTGGGAAGGCTGTACTTTCTTGGGCCCTTTAGTTGTTTGTGTTTCCGTTTTATTTTGTGGACTTGCTGGATGGACGTTATGGTGGACTCAGACTGCTCCTTTGGGTATTGTGATTAATCATTTCAAGGAGATTGGGGGAGGCTTTAGAGCTCCCTCAGGAATGGGGAAGTTGTTAGGAATTGAATGGATTGTTTAAACTCTGAATGAATGTCTGGTGAAAGTGTGGAGGGAGGGGGACTGCTCTCCCCCCTCCTTTGTGTGGCAGTCGGGCGGCCGCCTGAGTGAGGGTCTGTGGAAACAGGTCACCCCCTCCCCAAGTATTCTAAAATTAAAATCCTTCTTGTAATTGAAAAGCTTTTACAAATTTATAAATGCATCCGGGATTTCTGTGCACATGTAAAGGGAAAAGGCCAGTTTAAAAACGAGTGAGCATAGTTTTGAGCTGAACTTGACTTTTTGCTGTGTACAGAATAAAAACCCGAGACTGTTTTGGCCTTAAAAATGGCGAAGTTGAACCTGAAAAAGAAATACAGGCTGGTTTCCCAAGGCCATTTAAAGTAGCTCTTTTGAAATTTCCCGCCCTGAGGCAAGTACCACCAGAAAGTTGATAGTCAAGTTTACATATGAATAGCTATGACTTCCCCAGCAGGAAAACTGTGACCATTTTGAAATTTAGCAGCTATGCCAGGCTTATTGGCTGGAAACTTAAAACTTTTAAGTTCAAATCATCTAAAAGCATTGAAATTTATAATACTGAAATGTTGATCAAAATATGCCTAGTATGAGGTCGAAATGATAGAAGTTAATCTATTAATTGAAAATGCCTTTGCTTATTGATCTGATTGAGAAGAGAGGATTGATTTTGTGACCTCAACTGAAGATTTTTGATGCAAGGACCAGTTTAAATTTAATTGATATTCTTTAAAATGATTATAAAAGGTATAAACAGCTAATATATGCCTAAGTTCAACCTATGTTCTAGACAATGTGTTTACCCAAAGCTATGGTTTAAATTGCATGCTGTCTCTGCTTAACTAGTGAAATTTCTGTGTCTCTTAAAATGTATTGCTAATCACCTAAGAATTAAGGCTAAGAGTTCTAGCTACCTGGAAAGCATGGCCTTGGTGTGATAGGAGGAAAAAAGAAATGTTAAATGGATAATATACCAGTGAGCTGGGACTGGTCACTAATGATGGATTGTGAGAAGGGCTGGACATGGCCTAACTTCTCCTTCCTTGGTACCCCTGAAACGTCAGAGGATCCAATGTGTTTAATCCTCTTGAAGGGCATTGAATGGTTCTTTCCTTCCTCTTTAACTTTTAGGGGATTGTATAAATGGATTACTGATGTAGATTATCAAGAATCTCTAAGGGACTTGTCCTGTATCTGGAGGAATGGCTTCTAGATGGTATTCACCGTCTCTGGGACTTCCAGAGGGAAGTTGAAACTCGGACTGGCTAAGGGTTCGAATCTGGACTATCTTTTAGAAAGATAGGAAAGAAGCATTCCTAGGCAGTTTTCTACCGCCTCTGTTCAGGGACTTGTTCTGTATCTTGACACAACTGAAACTGATTTGTTGGTATTTTGTGGTATAAATGTGGCATGCACCTCAAAGTTCTTAATGGGGAATGTATCTAGTTATCGTGTCTATTTAGTCTTGATTTCCTTGTTCAATGTGAGTACCGTTTCTATCTGGATGAGACATAGGTCAAGAATCCCATCCTGGGACGTGGGAAAGGGAGGCCCCCACATCTGTTCCTGTCAGGCCCCCATCAGGGGACTTGGGTGGTGTTCCTGTTACCTGCTCAAGATCCCAAGACTGTATTTGTTCATGTAAGTGTGGAAATATATTCTGTGCTAGGTTGGGATTTTGGAATTCTGGGGTAGATTTAAAAGATATTTGTGACTTTTCCAGTCTGATTGGGACATTTAAGGGTGGGGCTCACAGTTCCTCAGGGCAGAGATTTCATGGGCCCTTCCCCCTGCCTATGCTGAATTAAATAATACAGGCCAGTGTCATTTAGCTTGCTGGTTAAAGGAAAACAATGGGCCTTAGAATCTGTAAAGGTGGGCGGGAATGAAGCTGGTCAAATGTACTGAAAGAGTTTGGTACCTGTTGCTGCTAGCTAAGGAGGGGCTGATACCCACTTCTAGCGCACTCCCTTGAAAGAGGCCTGGTTGCTGTTCTGCCACAAAGGGAACTGGTAGAAAGACAAAAAAGCAGGGCGCTATAACTGATAAACAGGGTTACCTAGAAGCCATCAGAACTTTGAAGTTCTCCAAGAGAGGAGGAATCTGACTCAGAGACTGGCGAGGACTGGGTGGCTTTTTTTTTAACAATCTCTTTCCTTGAGAGGGCTCCAGAGGGCGCATGAGGACATTTGGCCACGCCTCCGCGCCATCTACGAGACCAGCCCAACCCCAACTCCTCATCAGCACAGACCAGGAGATTGGGTCTACATCAGAAGGCACTGCTGGGAGACCCTAGAGCCACGTTGGAAGGCTCCCTACATTGTGGTGCTGAAGACCCCCACCGCTCTCAAGGTAGCCGGCGTCGCGACCTGGGTCCATCCGGAAAGACTTCATCACCAAATGGAGCATCGATCAATCGAGATCAACGCAACCCGCTCAAGCTCAAGCTACGGAGTGCTTGACCTGCCTGATGCCGGTAACATGACTCGCGATCGCTCCTGTCACCAGGAGCCCCCACAATACTGTGTAATACACTTAGATAATGCCTGCATCTTCATGGACATGGCTCCAAAGAGACAAGGACCATTTATAGGATCACATGTTTAGTAGAAGATTTGGCTACCTGAAGCAGCCATGATGCCAATATTATGTTTCATTGTATTGATATGTTATATTAACCTTTGGTTCTTTTGCAGGTTTGAATGTATGTTGGCTGTCCTGGAAGGAAGCTGTGTAGGGTGACCCCCAAAAGTAAAGGGTGTCTAGCTGCCAAAAGGGCAGGTGCCCAACTAGGCAGGGAAGGATGCCCATCAGGTTTTGGTCTCTGTTGAGAGACAGCTAACAGTTGGCAGCCTGTAATACTGTCTTGCAGGCCTGAGTCACCATGCCCATGTCAGGGGTAGTAAAGCTGGAAAAAGACTGTTTAGAATAGAAGGTCTGAGGCATGGTTATGCATAGAAAGAAGGTTTTATACCATCAGTTGCTGTTTTGTTTTAAATCCATGAAAAGGAATTAGCAAGGAAAGTCAGAAAATCTTAGAGTAGATCAGTATGTTTTTCTCCTTATGTAATTCCTCCGAAATCTGGCAATGCTAAATAAGTACGTTTCTTTGCACAGATTCAGTAAGACTGGTTCCTAATAGTGGTTTTATTAACGGAAAACTTTGACTGGAGTATCATGTTTTGAAGAACCCTATCTGAGCTCTAAAGACTTGAAGCCAGTAAGAATGCCACGAAGAAAGCCTGGTATCCTGCTTGGGAGCCCTGAAGACAGCTGGCGCTGGAGCGTCAGGCTGATGCCCTACCATCACTGGCGGTTGGTAAGAGTAGAAGGGGAACAGTAAAGATGCCTCTGCATCCCTGCAGAACCCCCACACACTCTGGGCCGCAAGGAGTAGGAGGGCTACTGAGATGGGCCTTAAAGCCTGGAGCATGGGCTCAGGTGGAGTTGCTACAGGTGAGGGATTCACCTAACTCAGCCGGTACTGGAGGCAGGCTTGATGGCAGCTGGATGGCTTGGCTTCCTGGCCCTACGGGGCACATTAAGGTTCAACCATGAAATTCCAGCAAAGGTAGTCAGTTACCATTCTTGTTGTGTTTATGCAAACATCAGGACAGTAAATAAATTAATCTTGATTTGGCTATTTAATAGCCATGGAGGAATTTTAAGAAGAAAAATCCTATTTCAATAGAAGTTGTTAAAGCTAAAATGGTTTCTTTCCCTTCCACCGGACCATTTGTTAAGCTTATAAGAATAGTTCAATTGATAGTTCTGTGTGCCCAGTACGGGCCTCTAGCAACGGTGGAATAGAAATGCAGTCTGTCTCATGATTGAGCCGGAAGTTCCAAGACAAGGGGGTAATGAAAGGACAGAGCAGGACTGATGGCTGTGTCCTTAACCCCTCTTCCAAGAAAAAGCCACAGGGTGTATCAGTTACTCAGCCTGCCCTTATCCCAGCCAATGGGAAAGCGGGGGAAACTAGCCCAAGGCCAAAAGTATGCTGGCCACCCCCCCCCCCCGTCTTTGTGTAACCAGACCCTAGCTGCACCCTTCCCTCCCGACCCCAAGCCCTATAAATTCTTTGTTCTCTTGGGATTCGGGGCTCTCTCTTGCACCCAGTAATGGAGGCAAGGGGAGGGACCAAGCGAGCTTGTATAAGAGACCCTCTGCTTTTGCATCGGACTGGCTCCCTGGCATGGTTTTTTGGGGATCTTGAAATCTGGGCATAACAAAAACAACAGTCTTCCAACTGGGGCAGCTGTAAAAAAAAACCACCAGCCTAGCAGCCACTGAGGGGAAAAAATAGTTCTGGAGTTCTCAAAAAACCCATGCCCAGAGAACTGCCCCTATCTGTCCTATCTGGAAGCTGGCTGAAAAGTCTATTATGAGGGCACGCCTTTAACTGACCTGACTCGGCACTCACTCTGTGTGAACAACTCTCTCCCCAAAGTTTTGGTCCCCTCCAAAAACATGAGCAGTAACTGCTGAACATCACAGCAACCTGAGTAGCATTACCATTTAAAGCTAATAAGAGGCTAAACAAACACAAGAAAGGGACAGACAGACAGAAGGAAAAAAGGAAGGAAAAAAGGAAGGAAGGAAGGAAGAAAGGAAAGAAGGAAGGAAGGAAGGAAGAAAGGAAAGAAGGAAGGAAGGAAGGAAGGAAGGAAGGAAGGAAGGAAGGAAGGAAGGAAGGAAGGAAAGAAGGAAGAAATAGAATACTTAGAAATAATTACTTAGAAGAATTGCAAGACTTGTACACTGAAAACTGAAAAAAAAGAAAAAAAATTAAAAGTAATTTTAAGACAACTAAATGGAAAGATATCCAATTTTCATGAATTGTAAGATTTAATATCATTAAAATGGCTATACTCCCAAATAGATTTTGTTAGGTCGGAGAGAGCCCAGGATAGGATACATGCAGACATGACAAGATAATGGACTTCCCCTGGAATTTCTCACAGATCAAGGTGCCAGACACAGATACCAGCTTCTTCTCCCTGAATTCACATACCCCCACACAGATAAGAACTTCGTCCTGAATATTCCGCCCATTCCCTGCAGCAGAGAATTCCTCAGCTCATGTCCCCGCCCCTCACCCAACCGCAGTATAAAAAAAGCGCCCCCCTCCCTGTTGGCGTGAATCCACGTGCCCTGTCCTTGGGGTACGTGGGTCTCCCGGGGACGCAGAATAAACCTTTTCCTTTCCTTTCTTTTCTGATTCACTGGACTCTATTTCTTGCGCCGCCTCCTGAGCCACCTAACCTAACAGATTTATAGATTCAATACAAATTCCTATCAAAAATCTCAGCTGCTATTTTGTTGCTGTTGTTTTTGTTTTAAGGGTTGTTCTCTATTTGTTTTTACAGAAATTGTAAACTTATTCTAAAATTCATATAGGTGTCAAAGGGTCCCAAATTGGTTAAAAATATTTCTTAAAAAGAGCAAACTGCAATGACTCAAGTTTTTCAATTTTAAAAATCACTAGAATATTAACCGGTATGTACATTGTAGTGTTGCAGAAAACCAAAGAAAACCAAGCGACACTTTAAAGAAATGGAGGGACACTGTTTAATTACACCAGTGGACTCAGGGAATAGCTTCCAAATCTGAGTACCGAAACATGCAAGGAGCCTCTTTTTATATCTCCCTATGGTCTTGTCCCGCAAATATGGATTATTTTCTGGGGCAGTGCACTATTCACAGTTTTATGGCCTCTGTAACAGGTTCTGCAAGACCAGTTTCTGGGAAGAAGTAATGACTTAATTATAGGTTAGCTTGCTGGCATGGATTCCAATTGTTAGCCCCCAAAATATCAGGATTACATTTGAATTAGTCCTTTTTAGCCTTCTCAGTAGTACTGGCATAAGGATAAACATAAAGAAGTAAAATATAATTTGGAGGTCAGAAATAAACTCTTACATTCACAGTCAATTTATTTTTTGATAAGTGTGCCAAGATTCTAGAATAACTGGACATCAATATGTAAAGGAATGAATCTGGATCTCTAAATAAAACCATGTAAACTCAAAATGGCTAATACATTTAATGAACTCAAATTTTTAAGACAAAAACATAGGAACAAATATTAATGACCTTAGATATTCTATGACTACCTAGATATGATACTAAAAGCACAACAGATAAAAGAAAAATTAGAAAAACTGAACTTGATTAAAAAAGCAGCCACAGACAGAAGAGCAGGTATATACCAGTAATAGTTTACCTAAAAGAACAGGCAATGGGCCAGATTCGGCCTGTGGACCATAAGTCAACCAACTCCTGGTTTAGAGGCTCTGGGAAAGAGTTACCTGAGTGCAGACAGTAGTGAGAAAGACAAAAGCAGCCCCTGACATCCATAAGCTGGCCTGGTATTCACACATATATATGCCTTGGTATTCAACTTTTCTGCTCTGCACCAGCAATACCAGGCTAGGGCCAGTTAAGTTTCAAAGTTGAAAATTCTACTGAACCTTGAAGGTCTGGTTCTTATACGAAGACCTTTCTACCTGGCTGGGAGAAAACACACTGCCCTCTGAGTTTCTTTATCAACACCTTGTTACGGCTCTCTTTTGAACACACTATTTGGCATTCTTCCTAAACCCTACTTGTCGGTGTATGTCTTATACTTCCTTAGTGCATTCAAAAAATGCTTACCTGCTGGAATGATGGAGGGAAGGAGGCAGCGCTGCTGCTCAAGCCTCCTGGCTGCCCTTGGAGGAGACATCAGAGAAATGCAGATTGTGTTTGTCCCAGGTTCCTACCACCACCACGAGGTATCTGCCTTCTGTTCACCATGAGTCCCGCTCGTTCCTGGCTGGAGCTGGAGTCTACAGTCTGCGCAGCCGCAGATGTGACGTTCTGAACCACGTAGCGTAGCCTACGTCCCGGATGCCCACACTATGCCCCTGCTAGGCAGGCGTTGCCCACATGGGACCACAAGCCCTACTGAACAAGTAGATAATGGGGTGCAACAGGCCCCTGTGGGCCTGTAGGTGAGGATCCAGAACTACAAGCATCTGAGCCTATGCCTGGACCTGTCACCTTCCCTGCACTCAGACAGCTCCTACCCACCTGATGCTGGCCTATCTGATGATGATGGGCATCCGGTTGACAGCCTGCCCTTGGATCTGCCACCCCTCACTGCGCCCCAGGCACACAATGCCCGTGACTAGCGGCTGCAGGATGCCTTCCATATCTGCCTCTGAAGAGCCGGGGGTAGAGGTTGGGGTACGGGGAGGGATATGCAAAAGGCTCAGAAACTCACCCCTTTAGCACTATGGTGCTGTTTTGCCCCATATTCCCTCACTTCATGGGAGGACACAGCCAGGGCGCCTCAGAGGCAAAACAGCCACAATCTCTCTCTTTTGTCTTGGGTTAGCTGGCACTGGGGCAGGCAATTGGGCTACAGCTTCTGCCCAGGCATTGGACCTCCACTTCTGCCAGGTGTATACCCCAGCTTGGCCAGCCTTCAGTCTGACAGTGTGACCCAAAGAATCTTGACTCCCCCTAGCATCTCTGGGATTGGGATGAGTACCTGGCTCCCACCTCCTTTTCACCTTTTGTTGCTATTGGCAGCTGCTGGCATGCTGGCATCTCACACTTGTTCCTGGGTTCCACTGTCTAAACAAGGGCTGTGGGGCCTATTCCTGCATCCTGGGAGTGCCAGGATACTTAGGGGCTGGCCTCTAGGGCAGTAGAGAAATAAATACTCTCTCAGAAAAACAATTTTTTAGAAGCTGTAACTATTTCTTGCACTTCTTTACATTTCCTATAGTGTCAGATGTGTTTCTGTGCAGATGAGAAGCACTTAAATAATTATGGATAGTGTATGTCAATACAAAAGTATTCATTACTATACCACAGAAGAGATACACTTTATAAACATTGGTGCAAAAAAATTTTTTTTGAATATGTGAAAGCATAGAAGAATTATCTTACCTGAATACATCCTGCATCAATATTGTCCCTTTCAGGTTTAACTCTAAAATTTGCGGTTTTTCTAAAGTGGTACATCACAGGAAGTGTTTTGGATCGATTTTTCATAATAAATGAAATCGTTGAATATTCACCAAAGGAACAAGTTGGGAAAGTAAGAAAGCTTCCTGAATTAAATTGCATTATAACAGGAAGTCCTGAACCTGTTAGTGCTAATTCCAGTTTCTGAAATTGATCATCTGTAAAAACAATAGTTGCTTTTTAACATAAACGTGTTTTGGGAATCCAAAATATACAGTATTTGCTCAGTCCAAAAAAGTGTTATCTGAAAGATCTGATGCTCATTCAATTTTTCCTTCAACAAAAACAGTGAGTGCCTTCTCTGCACCAAGTACTTGTTAGGAGGAAAAAAGAAGGCCTTTCTTTTTCTTTGCTGTGGCCTTCCACAATTTATGAGAAGCACCTGGTAATTAAACCCCAAGATTGTCAGCTCCTCTGATTCAAACAACCCCTCTGTTCAACTGCAAGACAAAGATAAGCTTCTTTCAAGGCTACATTCTTGCATACCCCTCCTCCTCCCTGGAAAATGGGGGCTAGAAAGTTTCTAGTTAGTAAAAGGGCTCTACTCCCTCATATTGAAACCCAAGCTGCCCCCCTTTTTGAATTCTTTGTAACTTTTGCTCTAAGAATGTTTTACAGACTCTGGGAAAACTCTGGGAAAATACTGATAAGACACCTCCCCAGGACACCTGCCCCGCCCCACTCCTGAAGAACTAACAAAGACAACCTCCCTGATGTCTGCTCAATTTCAGCCCAAAAATCCTCCCTTCCTTGTCACCTAGCAACAGCAGCCATTAAAGAAGCAGGCCATTGTTTATTTCCTCACCTTTGTATTGATTAGCAATGCAGTGAGTGGCCCTTTCCTTTCAGGGAAAATAAAGTGATCTCTCTCTCCTCTCTCTCTCTCTCTCTCTCTTTCTCTCTCTCTCTCTCTCTCTCTCTCTCCCCCCCCCCCCCCGCCCCCTTCTCTCAGTTGTGAATTCTTTTACAGCCCCACAGGCCCAAAAAACCCTAACATTACTCTTCTAGGCCTTGGGGATAACAGCAGTGAATAAAATAGACAATGTTCAAGCTCTCAGGGACTTTGCATTCTAGTGAGGTGACACTGACAATAAAATAAGTAAATATAAACCATTTCAGAGGCGATTAAGCATTATGTAGAAAGGTAACTTAGGGTGAAGGGGATCAGAATTTGTCACCCCCAACTATGCCTTTTTGGCATAAGGGAAATTTTAGAAACAGCAGACACAGGAAAAACTCTGAAAACCTAGAAGTTACCCTTTTGTAAGAGACTTTACATTTATCAGGGAAATATCCATTTGTAAGGGTGTCTTCCTCTCTGCACCAGCAAGGAACTCTTATCAATGGAGAAGGCACAGACCTAAAACTGCAAAATAACCTTATCCTCTTTTACTATTGTCTGCCTGAAAATCTCCCATAATTGGCTCCTCACCCCCAGTATCTTTTGTCTTTAGCTGGAGGTGGTATTTAAGGTGGTGCCCTGGGCTATTTCAAAGAGTTACTCAGTTTTCCTGGGTATCTCCCAACTATGCTGGAAATATACATTATTAAACTTAGGTAGGTTCTTCTCCTGTTATCTATCTTTTATTATAGTGGGTCTCAATCAAGAATTTAGAAGAGTAGAAGAAAAATTCTTTTTCCTCTCCTACAAGGGTAAGACAGAGCACATGATCTTGGGGCTGCTCTTTTATATGGGGGAATCCAAAAAGGCATCTCTGATAGGGAGACATTTGAGCAAATGTATAAAGAGACTGGAAAAAAATCATGTGAATCTCGTAAAAGTGCTTTCCAGATAGAACATCAAGGACAAAACTCTAAGGTAGGAATTTGCTTGGCATGTTCCAAAAATCCTAAGGAGCCAAATATGTCTGGTGAGCAATGGTCAGATTTAAGATATATTTATTTATTTATTTATTTATTTATTTATTTATTTATTTATTTAGAGAGATTTGTTGTTCCACCCATTTATTCACTCATTGGTTGCTTCTTGTATGTGCCCTGACCAATGATCAAACCCACAACCTTGGGATATCAGGATGATGCTCTAACCAACTGAGCTACCTGGCCAGGGCTAAGATCTATATTTGATGGGAGTTAACAACATTTGCTGATGGATTGGATGTAGACTATGAAATTAGACATATGATCAATGATGATGCTAAGGAGTTTGGGCTGAGCAACTGAAATGACGGAATTGCCACTTCTTGAGACAGGAAAGAATGCAGGGGGCGGGGGGGCGGGGGGGGGGAGACAGGTTATGCAGAAGCCAGGAGTTAAGTCTGGGCTTGTTCAGTCTGAGATGCCTAGTAGATATCCAAGTGAAAATGTCTACTAGGTCACTTAATGTATTTATAAGTTTAGAGTAAAGATGAAGGAGGAAGTATTGAAGATTTGAGGTGAAAAGAGGTGTGTGATAACAATCTCAATTGTGAGAATGTAAATGGAGGAATGCAGCAGAAATGGCAAACAGCTTAAAGGACCTACTTGGGGCTAGTGATTGTAGATTAAAAAGTGAAACATCACAAAACAGTCCTTGCTGTTCTATCTGGTTTTGTTTTTCTCCATCACAAGTAGCTTCCCAGGTGCACACACAAAGCAGGCTGAGATTAAAGATTTTCCACTCAGTCAATATGGGAGATGGGCCAAGATATTTAAGTGTACATGGGAAAAGATGACTAAAATAATGGACAATGGAATATAAGCTGTGTAATAACAGAAACGTGAACTTTTGGAGATACTAAAAAGAAGGTAGGAACTATGAATTGGATGTTCTAATTGGGTGAAAGAGCAGTTTTGCAGAGAAAGAATCCCAAAAGAGCATTTGTATTTCTGCACTGATGCTCTTACTAGCCAATCCTAGACTTTAAATTACCTTTAAGGCAAACCTAGCATCTCCATCTCTAGCCATTCCAAACTAGATAAATTTGTAATCCTGGAACAAATACTATAACAATGATCAGCAGGCAGAGCTCAATATCATAAACCATTATATAAATAATGTTAGGTCGGAGAGAGCCCAGGATCAGATACATGCAGACATGTGATGAGACAATGGACTTCCCCTGGAATTTCTCACAGATCAGCATGCCAGACACAGATACAGGCTTCTTCTCCCTGAATCCACAACGACCCCCACACAGATACTGACTCATTCCTGAAAACCTGGCTGACCCCTGCAGCTGAAACTTCCTCAACTGAATACCTCAGCTCATGTCCCCGCCCCTCACCCAACTGCAGTATAAAAAAAGCGCCCCCCTCCCTGTTGGTGTGAATCCACTTGCCCTGTCCTTGGGGTACATGGGTCTCCCGGGGACGCAGAAATAAACCTTTTCCTTTCCTTTCTTTTCTGATTCACTGGACTCTCTATTTCTTGCGCCGCCTCCTGAGCCACCTAACCTAACAAATAATAACAGAGCAATTTGTGCCCTAAGAACACAATTCAACCCTGCTCAACAAAATTTATCACTGTACTGACATTCAAGTCTTTTACACTCTTGACTTGCCATGGTTCATCTTTCTGGATTTGATCCCTCACCTGCCTATATCTTTATTGTCTCGTTGATCTGTCTTATTAAGCTGACCTCCAAGTCTTGTTCCATTTTTGCTCACTGCAGCCCATCCAGTATTACCTGAGAATGTAAAAAGTGCAATGCATCTCAACATGTGGCCTGTAAAGCATATGCACTTATCAATATCCTATAACAGGATATTGAACCCTATTTACCAGAGCTCTAGGTGGTGTTCTTTGACTGTTACTGTATATAGATTCTGGAGCTGAGGATATGGTAAAGATGGAATGGGTCATTTGTTCCCATATCAATCTCTAGAAGACAAACTAAGATTATATAGGAAAAGAAGACAAGTTGTTTATTATTTTTGTTTTCAACTAAACTATAGATCAGCAATTTGCAACCTTTTTCATCTCATGACACAGATAAACTAATGACAAAAAATCTGAAGCACACCAAGAAATATAATTTTGCTGATCTGACAAAAAAAATAGGTATAATTTTGATTCATTCTCACTGGACAGCTATTGTTGTGTTGGCTGTTGTCATTTTTTTTATTTTACAATCTAAGGGAAAAATGGTCAGTGCCCCTGACTACATAGTCAGGTATTGCATGTTTTAAAAATCTGTGGCACACCAGTTGAAAATTACTGCTCTAGAACATCCTGTTTATCTAATGTTATTTAAAAACAATAATTTTCCCTAAATTATAGTTGGAAGATTACTATGCAAATGATTCTGAGGTTGATTTTTTTCCTTACATGCCTCAGAAGACACTTTAAGATATCTTGATTATTTGCATTTTTGTTCTATTCAATAGTTATATACTTTTATTATATTGCTTCTAAACATATTGATGTCCAAACTTTTAAACAATTTAAACTACTATAAATTTATGATTAGATTCATTTCACACTTACTTTTGATGGTTTTAGAGTTATCATCTCTCAAAAACCCATCCTTACTTCCTACAGAGTCAAATCTCAAAAAAACAGCATAGTCTTGCCTGTGTGAAGGGTCATAATCCTTTTTTCCTTCAGTAATTACCCTGTAAAAAATTACAATCAGTTATTTTTAAAGCAAAGACAGTGCACTTTGTTACCTCTCACAAGGGAATATCAACTGAATCCTTAAATCTATGCAAAGAGATGAAAGTTCAGGAATAAAAATGTGATTGTGAACCAGTTTTCAATATTACTGGGCAGACAGAGACTTGCCAAAAGAAGGCCGCAAAATGTAAATATCCCCCCAAAAATGAGTTCATGGCAACATTTGCAAGAGCAATTTACAAACACTGTCAGCTCCAATGCCACTTTCTATATAAAGGTTTTTCTTTCTATGCACACTTCATTGCTGGCTAAGGTCTGTTCATTTCTCTAAAATAGTCCTTCTTGCCCAGCTGTGATGGCTCAGTGGATTAAGCATCATCCCATGGACTAAGAGGTCCCTGGTTCAATTTCCAGTCAGGTTGCAGGCTTGATCCCCAGTATGGGGTGCAGGAGGCAGCCAATCAATGATTCTCTCTCATCATTGATGTTTCTATCTCTCTCTCTCTTCCACTCTGAAATCAATAAAAACATATTTTAAAATAGTCCTTCTTAACCCAGGATGTAATTGCAAACCTCTGTTACATAAGTGTTCCTCCCATAGACAAAGAACATATTGCTAGCCACACCCTCATTACAGAACAGGTAACTTAGAGAACAAGATTTGGAGAAAAGGCAAAGAAAGATGTGAGGAAGAAAAGTAGGACCAAAGACATAGATGGGTTACATCACAGGCCTACACACTGGCAATCTTTACTTCTTAACTAGAAGTCAGGTTTTTTAGCAGTGGATACTCAAATACATACACAAAAGGCTGATATTAAATATTACCTAAGAATGCAAATAGAATGTTGAGAACATATGTAACTAAGACTTCAATTCATACACATATCTATAAGTTTATGCTAGACTCTCAATTACCATGCTGCTATGAAAAGACATTCTTACTTAGAATTTTAAAGATTTTGTATTACTTTTACAGATTCATCAAAGAAATTCCTGTCTGAAGGTATGGTAAATAAGGCAAGTATAGACTGTACAAATAGAACATTTACTTGATGGATTCCTCTCCTTAACCCAACTCAGTTTCAGCAAACAATTGGTATCATCAAGGGACACTATAGACATAAAAAGGACATTACCCATTTCCTGCCTTCTCACAAACAAGGGCAAACATATGTACAATTAAATGGGTTATCACCACACACTATACAACCTCTCAAGTGTAGCTTAAATTGCTACTACATATTTAAAATAGCATTTCCAAATATTTTCAAACTAAATAACCAAACCAACGACTCAGAATTATGAAAAATATCCATTGGCAAGAGTCCTCAAAGTCTGTATGGATTTCAGCTACCAACTCTGGTTGATTCCAGCAATTGCTATAGGCTTAATATTAATTCATGAAACTCAGTCAGCAAGCATTTTGCCCTGGCAGGAGCACTGCATCCTCTTTGGAGGCATCTAGAACATACTACATGCCACTGGCCATCATCTAACTTCTGCAGTGACAATAAGGCCTTGGTTGCACAGATTTGTTTGGAGCCACAACCCAAAACTTTCACTTCCACCACCTCATTTCCACAAGGTCTGGAGAAATTTTTAATTTAACATGAAGTAGTTAGATCATATTTTTAAATATTGGAGATAATATTAAGCATGTTAGGAATAGTTAGAACCATAACAAGAGAAATCTGACTTTTGCCTCTTGGCAAGTTTTAATGTTAAAGTCAATCTGATGAATGAATGGTTAATGCACTTTCCATTAATAAGCAACATCACAATGGAATTGATTTTTGCTTACTTTGGGCTGAAACAAAGTGTAATTTTAGTTTTTTGATAAGGTGGTAATCTCCCTTCATTAGGAACACAGGAGATAAAGGTGGTAATATCCAAATTCTTTATTTGTCTTATGAAGGCGAGATTATTTATAGCAACATCTGTTCTTTGTTGCATATTTGTACCCTGTAATATAAATCAGAAATAAAAGAGTATTAAGGAAAACATTAACAAAATATTTTTAGAGGTCATAAAATAATTATAGAAATTCCAGCATCTAAAAAGTAGAGAATATGTGTGCCTTTAAAGTAACATACATAAATTTGATGAAGGTACATCATAAAATTTAAATAACTTAAAAAAACTGATGAGAGCAGAAACCCCACAATTAGTCACTTATTTATAAGAAACACTTGTCTGATTTACTTCAGATATATCACTATCAGTGTTAGTTTAATTTACTGAATTTTTTCAGGTTACTTTTGAAGATACATGAAATAAAATTTTATTTATCTGCATGTTAAAACATATTTAGAATAATTAAACAATTAAACAGCTTGTTGGGAAGATGGATTTGAGAATTAGTTTTCCCATATTCTCAAGCTAGGCCTTCTTGATCAATGAAGCTTTCCTTGCTCTTAAAAACAAAACAAAAAAGCAACTTGTTGGCTATCAGTTCAAAACAATTTGTGCTCTCGGCCACTTGGCTTGCCATTGTGTTGGTGAGTGTGGTGGATGGGGAGCTCAAGCTAGCTTGAAATGAAGGACTCTTTGCTTTTGCATGGGACTCGCTGGCTCCCTGGTGGGCCCTTGGGAATCTTGAAATCTGGGCACAACAGTTAGCACACATTACCAGTCTGTTTCCTGCACATAGAATTTTGAGAGTCTGACAGGTTTTTTTTTCACTTCCTATACTCTTTGTCCCTTTTTATCAAACTGGCAATGTTTCTGTTGGTATAAAAATGTCAGGAATGTGAGTCTTCCATGTATGTCCTGGAAATTTATTCAGTGAGAAATAAAGTTTGTCTCAGATAAAAAAAAAAAAATTTGTTTCAAAACATGATACCTGATGCACTATTTACTTACCAATTCTTCTCCAACTGAATCATTTTGTATTATTGCCACCCAATTTATAAGTTCTGGGCTATTATTGAATAGAACTGCATGTTCAATCTTCGATGTTCCAAAGAAAGTACAACCAAAGTGTATGCATTCCAGCTTTTGATTACCATTCGTGTTTAACAATTCAAGAATCTGCTCAACCACACGAACTCTGATATATAAGAGTACATCTGGACGACCTTGCAAACTCACTCTATAAGATAATGAATTATACATATATTTTTAATTAGAATTCTATATACTCTTTCTCCTAAATACTGATATAAACATAACTTTTATAAAATCACATTATAATTAAAATTCAAAGGCCCAAGAGCAGTTACTTTCACATACATGTGACTGTCATGTCCTCTGTCTGTCTGAATCTATACAGCAGAATGGCATATATACAACCTAATTCACACATTGTATGCGGGAAACATATTTATACGTTCTATCAGTGTAGTAGAGCACGGGACACGTATTAATACATTTTTTATAGACTAGCGGTAGAATGCAGGTAAGGTATAAATACATAAACTAAAGTTATCGTAATTTTACTGAACGTTGCCATTTGCACAAAAAATTAGCAAAAATGGCCCGCGCCACCTGTTAGCGCGCGATAAAAACTACCCGCAACCAATGTGTTCACTGTCTCCAGGAAACAACAAAGTTGGGAAACAATCACAGGAACTAATCCCAAAGAGAACTTATCGGTATGTTCATATCACCAATTATTTTGTAAATACTAGAGTTAGATGGAAAAAATTATACCTCTAGTTCTAGAATTCTAAGATTCTTTTCTAACTCATCCTACTCAACAAGGTACAAATTGGGAGTATGGGGTCACCCCCATCCTTATACAGTAGGTCCTCAGGTTATGTCGGAGATCCATTCCTACAGCGCGATGTAATGCGATTGCCACTGTAAGTTGAACCCACCTACATAAGCACCTACGCCACTCACATGGAGCACATACACAGCAGTAATGAAGTGAAACTGTAAAAACAATTTAAAAGAAAGATAACAATTCCTGACCTTTACTTGTGGTAAATAAATAATAAAAAACATAAAGCACATATATACATACGTCAAAATGACCGAACTTTTTTTTTTATAATTAAATGGGAGATGGTGACGTAACCACGAAATGACATACGTCGAGTCCAACGTAACCCGAGGATTGTCTGTAACTCAATTCCCTACAAAGTAAATTATTTCAGCAAAATCCCCCTCTTTGCTGAAATGCACACACATACCCCCCATAAAACTTCACTTGCCAGACTAATTTGAATTCCCTTTGGAAACTGGCCCCCACACCAAATGTAGCTTTCTCTAGCCCAAATGCAATGCTTTTGAATCTTGCCCCATCAAATACCACAAACAACTGATCTCTCCACAAACTAGGTCCTTAGCTTACACTCTGTCTCTGTCACACTGGACATGGTCGATATCACCTCTTGACACATCTCTCCTCCCCCTTAGCTTCCTTGACACCATACTTTCCTGGTTTTCCTCTCACTTATTCAGACTCTACCTTTCTCATTCTTCTAAGATTCAGATATTTTGTAAATTCCATGACTAATGGTATTTCTCTCCTACTCTTTCATATGCTACGCTCCTCAAATTATTTTCAACACTTCATGCTTCCTTGACAACTTATCCACTGACAACTCTCAAACCAATATACCTAGAAAAAAAATTTTTCTGGGACTCAAGATAAATAAATCTAATTGGCTCTACAGTATTCTACAAAACAAATCAATTCCAAAATTTCAAAACTGAACTCAGATCTATTCCCACAGATATGCCCCTTCTCTAACCTTCTCTTTCTATAACCACTCACTGAATCTAGTCAAATCTATCTCTATAACATACCTCTAATATGCAGAATTCTCTGCATACTCCCAATCTGTACCTTCCTTTGAATTAGCCAATCTCAAAAGACTGTGCATCTGAGCTCCAATCAAGAGCAAGGGACAGGTCATGTGTATCAGGGATTATAAATCCCGAGCAGACCGCCAACTCCTATCATCAACACCTACCTCCACTACACACACACACACACACACACACACACACAGCCCAAATCACACCACTGCTCTATGTCTGACTAATTCCTACTCACCAATGAGTGTTTTGTTCAACTATTACCTCCGTAGTGGAGCCCTTACTTGATCCACTCCCTCACTCCCACAAAATCCAAACTAGTACCTCCTGTTATATATACCCAAATACCATCCTCTGGTTCTTCCCATTTTTGAATCCCTTGTTTAGTTTTAGAAATAAGGCAAGCCTCCCAAGTCAGGGGTCCTGGTAGAACACAAAACATATTGGGGAGCCAGGCAGCAAGGCAAACATCTTTACATCTACGTAGAAGGGTGCGTACACATGGTCTGGAAGCATGCGCACACCAAGTAGGTGGTCTGCTCGGGATTTATAATCCCTGACACACATGACCTGTCCCTTGCTCTTGATTGGAGCTCAGGTGCACAGTCTTTTGCGATTGGCTAATTCAAAGGAAGGGATTGGCCTTTGCTGTTTCAAGATGGCAGCCCCCAGGAGAACTGCAAGCCATGCAGCCAACATGGCGGCTGCCAAGTCACGTAGTCCAAAATGGAGGCTGTCTAAACCAGGGGTGGGCAAACTTTTTTACTCGAGGGCCACAATGGGTTCTTAAACTGGACCGGAGGGCCGGAACAAAAGCATGGATGGAGTGTTTGTGTGAACTAATATAAATTCAAAGTAAACATCATTACATAAAAGGGTACGGTCTTTTTTTTCAATAGTTTTATTCATTTCAAACAGGCCGGATCCGGCCCGCGGGCCGTAGTTTGCCCACGGCTGGCCTAAACTGTTCTTTGACAGAAAAGATGATTTGTTTACTCTCACATTTAGCAAATATTATAGACTCAATTTATTACTGCTGACTGAAAAACCAATGAGGCTAACCCACAATCAAAGACAATAGGCATATCTGAAAAGAGAAAAACAGGAAAGTATTAAGTACTATATTAGAATTAAGCACCATAGTACACACTCACATTGCCACTTCATTTACAAGGCTGGGCTGGTCTGCACAGAAATCCACTTTAATAATCTTTGAGGACTTGGGCTCCACAATACCATCACTTGGAGAAACTACAATGGGTAATTGGCCCTGGTATTTTGTTGTAAACATACCTAAGGAGAATAAGAGCAGGTGGTTCACATCTGGAGCCTTACAATATTACATTCATACCTTGGTAGAGGATAGACAAATATTAGAGTATATGGTCTACTGAAGACCAAGAACTACAGCTTTGGCTATAAGTCCAGATTCTAGGGTCACCAAAGATGTGAGCCTAGTGTTAAGACTTAACCTTCATCAATAGCTAAAATATATTGCCTGCTTACTGCATTCAGATACTCATGCTAAGAGCTTTGCATATTGTATTCTATTTAATGCTCATAATGATTCCTTGATATAGGTTGTCATTACCTCCATAAATAATGAAATAGAAGCTGAGAAAGGTTGAGTGACTTGTCCAAAGACATACAACTATTGTGGTAGATTAGATGGTTAACTCCAATTCTCCACCCTTCTCTGCATCCTTACCATTACCCTACCATGGACAAAGTATGTTTCCCTACCCCTTGACTTTGAACTTGATCATGTGATTTACTTTGGCCAACAGCATTTGGCTAGTCGTGACAATATGCCAGCTCTAACCCCAGATGTTCTCCTGCAGTTCTACAATGAGAAATGTTTCTCAAGTAGCTGCTGTCCCTTTGGCATGTGCCCTAGAATGAGCAAATATGGAGCACAGCCACCCAACTCACTCACAGACCTTAGTAACAGAACAGCCCCAGCTGCCTCAGCCTGAAGCAGCCACCCACCTGAGCACAGTCAAGTTCCAGCCAATCATCATACAAATGAAAAATATAAAAATAATTGCCTTTTTTTTCATATACAGAGTTGTGGGGTGGTTTGTAACATAGCAATATTTGATTACTATAGCTAATAACTAAATAATTGAGCTGGGACTTTCACCTGGATGTTTCTGACCATAGGACTCAAACTTATAGCCACTGCCACTTCTCTATAGATGAATTAATGCAATTAACACAGGAAAAGGGCAAAAGGAATGGGTTTCTAGAATCAACCAGCATATGAGAAGGAGGCTACAAAAATTTCTTCTATAAGTAGAAATGGTTCATCATTTATGGTTATATTTGGCACCTATATTAGAGCACACAATACTTGAGATCAGATACTATCTTTCTCATTTCTATGGTCCTAGTACCCACATAGTGCCTAGTACAAAGCTGTGTTCAAAATATGTCCAACAAATAGAAGCAGTCACAAGTTTCTTAAATATCATTATACAATATTAAAACAAATACCATTATACAATATTAAAACATACTGCCAACATAAACAACTTTGCAAATTTCTAATTCACCCGTTTTAAATCATAATTGATGACATTTTCCAAAAGTATTCATTTAACTTAGGAGAATAAAATATTAGCATAATAAAAGTACTGAAAACATAAAAAGACAATAAAATGTTTTTAAGTACAGAAATAAACTGACGGAAAAGGCAAATTCACAGTATGAAAATTTGTTAATCCAATTATTTTAGGGAAGTGCTAATGGCATAATATTTCAGGTTTATTTTCTGTCATAAGATAAAACAAATATCTGTAAATTATATTCATTTCAAACAAATTACCATTATTGACTCAGTTCTCTAGAAAAAGAAAACTGCATGAGTTCAGTTAAGGCTGAGTCAGTGTAATAGTTCCTATATTGTAACCACTTTGATGTAATTTGACAAGAGTTCAAGTAATATTTCAAACGCTTATTCAGGAACAACCCTAAAATCAAAGGAACATTGTTCAGTCTTCTAATTATATTAAAAAAGTGGGTACATAAACATTACTGTATCATATATAACTTTAATACCATTAATAATCATGAAATATTTGACTGTTGTATTTTTTAATTGCTAACAACAGGAGCAAGGACATCATCCTAAGAGAAGAGTATCACTGAAGGAAGGAAGTTACAGATTAAATTTTGTCATCAAATTTTAATTTATTTTCAGATATGACACTGGCTAATGTGTGGCAAATGAGAAGGAGATAAGAGGAGAATTCAGGCCGAAACCGGTTTGGCTCAGTGGATAGAGCGTCGGCTTTCGGACTGAAAGGTCCCAGGTTCGATTCCGGTCAAGGGCATGTACCTGGGTTGCGGGCACATCCCCAGTAGGAGATGTGCAGGAGGCAGCTGATCGATGTCTCTCTCATCGATGTTTCTAGCTCTCTATCTCTCTCCCTTCCTCTCTGTGAAAAATCAATAAAATATATATTTTTTAAAAAAGAGGAGAATTCAGAGAAATAACGTAGATTGGTGTAATTACCAGGCAAGAGAAAATGATGGCCTGTTGTAGAGAAGTGGCAATGGGACAGAGAAAAGTAGAATTACCGACATAATCAGGAAGTGAATAGATAGGATTTAATAAATGACAAAGGGGACAAGAGGTGAAAAAAAGGGGAGATCTCAAGGATGTTACCAAGTTTCTGACTTTCCTAAATACATGGTGGTGACTATGAAAAAGAGAAAAGGACCAGTTTTGGGGAGAAGCAGAGAAGTTTAGTTTTAGACATCTCAAGTTTGAGAAACCTAGAGGAAATACAAAGAATTATATAGACTTCAGTGAAGTAATAGGAATGGAAGTGATTTCCTAGGAAAAGTGTGTTGACTGTGGAGACATGAAGAAGATCCATGTCAAGTCCTAGGAAACACTCACATTTCATGTCCAAAAAAAATGGACATCAGTCCACAAAAGAGAATTGGAGAGGAGGGAGGCAGTAGAAAAAGAATAATTCTAAGATCAAGTGAATATTTATTGAAGACTTAATATAGGCCAGAGAGTGTGCTAAGCATTTTATTAATCACCACCACAGCTGTAAAGGGCAAGCACTATGTGTTTCTCTAATGTTTAAGTGAGGCTGTGGATTTAAGGAATTGTAAATTCCTTGCCTAGGGCCTCCAAACCAGTAAATGTTGCAACCAAGATTTGGACCCTGGAAGACCTCACTCCAGGAACTGAGCTACTATGAGCCATTATTTTATACAGGAGAGTGAGGGGTTCTATAATAAAAAAAAAAAAAAAATTGGCCAACTGTGTCACATGTTGCTAATAAGCCAGTAAAATAAACACATGGACTTATCCACTGATGAGACCTAGGAGAGAACATGGGATGTGAGAATACCCACAGCTGTGGCTGAGATGAAGTATCCTTTGTACAAACTTGTATGCTTTTCTTAATCAGAGTTGCCCTACCTTCTCTGGAAAAGCAGCTTAGGCACTGGGTGGTGAAATATATAGTATTACCCTGCCTTTACTCTTCCAAAATATAGCTTAACAGCAGTTTTATAGGATACTACTTAAAATCAAGAGTTACATACCCAAGGCCATTGTTCTTTGCTATATATGCATTTTTCCCCTTAAGTGTCATTGGGTCTAGACATACCAAAGAGTACCAGTCTCCACCTATCTCCAAATGACTAAGTTTTGGAGACTTTCAGAATGCTCATATGTGATGAAATGGGTTACTTTTGAAAGCACCCTTCATTGAAAGCTTAATGGTTGTATAATGAGAGATCACTGAAGCAAATCAATTAAACAAATATTTACTGAATGGGTGTTATATATCCAGCATCATATTTTGCATGAAAAGTATATTGGGATTACATAGCATCAGATTCCAAGAAAAGAAAAATATGCATTGAGAATAAGTATTGATATTTCTCCGGGTATTTAGACAGGCTCTCAAGGACCACACATGCATTGGGTCCAATTTAGCAAATTTCCTGGTTTACAGATGATGCCAGCATTTCCAGGTAGTGAAGCAGAGAGACGTTGATGATCAGTGAAAGGAGGAGAGTGGGCATTAAGAGCAAGAGACAGGTCATATATTTTGTGCCAAATGACCCAAATAAACCTAAAGGATGATGAGTTCTAAGGTAGCTGTTTAAACTCAGAAATGATGTGTAAAGATCTCACTATGGACTACATCATAAAACTGTAGTAGAAAAAGCCTACTCAAATACCCAGGAATACTGAGGGGAAGAGGTAAATGATTACAATTCAAGGCAAGCTAAAATAACAATGTTTTTTTCAATCTTCAAAGATAATTGAGAAACTATAAAATCTTAAGAGAGAACATGGAGTTCACCAGCTCACAAAGTACTAATAGCAGAGACATCTTAGAAATTGAACCGTGTCTTTTAAAAATGAAAAGTAAATGCTACTTTGCACAGTCAGGAGTGAACTTAGGAAACATTCTTATAAAGGGTGAGAAAACAAAATGTTCAAACACCATTTGGCTAAATCCATGGAGAGATACTTCATAATGGGCTATAAAAATAAAACATCATGAAGTTGTTACATACATAAACGTTGGGGTGTACAGAACCAAAGATAATAACCAAAGTGACACTACCAAATAGAACAAACGAAGCTATACAAATCATGAACCTGCTGAGTGTAGATTTTTATGTCCTCTTAAGTATACATATAAATTTGTAAACATTTGATCTTTGACTCTAAAATTATAAAATATTTGTCACATAAAATCTTTTTAAATTTATTAAAATCATCTTTGGTTGCTGAATCTATTTTCTGCATAAATGTTTTTCTTCATGAAAATACACTGTTACTCTCATGAATATTTATATATTGTGCTTGTAGGTAATAAGGACTTTATGACACTTTACAGGCACTTGCTGTGAATATAAAACATACTATAAATTTTGGTAATGGTGAAAAAAATAATATTCAACTCCAAATATGAGGGACAAAGTCAACACTAAGAAAATGTGTTTCATTGATAACATTTTGTTTGAAAGTAATAGTAATTCACATTTCACAGTTCTCAATTATAATTTACCAAATGTAGCATTCACTACAAATTTTATGCACACATAAAATATTAATACAATACTAAAAGCTGATGTGGATTACTTTTCCTGAAATGTATGGACCCAGGTCTGAGGCTTAATTTTATTTATTTTATTAATAAACTAGAGGCCTGTTGCACGAAAAGATTCGTGCAATAGGCCTTCCCTTCCCCTGGCTGCCAGCACCAGTTTTCCTCCGGCACCTGGGACCCAGGCCTTCGCTCTAGCCAGAGCCGCCTTCAAGCCTTCACTGCTCTGGCCGGAGCCGCCTTCAAGCCTTTGCTGCTCCAGCCAGAGCCACCTTCAAGCCTTTGTTGCTCCGGCCGGGGCCGCCTTCAGTCTTCACTCTGCCGCTTCGCGCCTACATATGCAAATTAACTGCCATCTTTGCATAGCTCACTGATAATTTGCATATCTCACTGATTAGCCAATGGGAGGCGTAGCGAAGGTATGGTCAATTACCATGTTTGTCTATCATTAGATAGGATTATCCTATATAATAAAAGGGTAATATGCAAATTGACCCTAACATCAAAACAATTGGGAATGACTGGTCACTATGACACACACTGACCACCAGGGGGCAGATGCTCAATGCAGGAGCTTCCCCTTAGTGGTCAGTGCGCTCCCACAGCGGGAGCTCTGCTCAGCCACAAGCCAGGCTGGCAGCTGCCAGTACAGCGGTGGTGGGAGCCTCTCCTGCCTCCTCAACAGTGCTAAGGATGTCCGACTGCAGCTTAGGCCTGCTCCCCGCTGGCAAGTGGACATCCCCTGAGGGCTCCCAGGCTGCCAGAGGGATGTCTGACTGCCAGCTTAGGCCCGATCCCCCACGGAGCAAGCCTAAGTCAGCAGGTAGACATCCCCTGAGGGGTCCCAGACTGTGAGAGGGCACAGGCTAGGCTGAGGGACCCCCCACCCCAAGTGCACAAATTTTTGTGTACCAGGCCTCTAGTTAATTTATATAAAGAGGTAATATGCAAATTAGCCTGGGACACCATAATGGTCACGACTAGTCAGAAGGAGGTTGCTCGAGCAGCAGGCATGGTGGGTGGGGACTTGCAGCGTTGGGGACTTGCGTCACCATCACAATCCATCACCAGAAGGTCTGGGGCCGGGCAGAGGCCTCCGCAGGGCTCCGATGGATCAGTGATGGTGAACAGGGAATCAGGGTGGGTGGCGGGAGGACAGGGCTGGCTGTCAGGCCGTTGGGATCACCAGCTCATCCCCAGCTGTTCGGGGGTTCAGGCCTCCGGGAAAGTGACTTCACCTCCATGCGTATACACCCAGCTGGCCACTGATGGAATGCACTGCCCACTCAGGCCACTCATGCCAGGGCAGGTAGGTTGCAGGCACTCCCCACAGCCTCCATCAGTGCCTTAAGCCCCAGCAGCAGCAGCAGCGGCAGTAGCAGTGGCAGCAGCACCCACGACCTACCCACTCCAGTGTGAGCACCCTGAGTGGGCAGCACATTCCATCAGTGGCTGGCCCGGCGCACACACATGCAGGTGAAGTCACAGGCGCCTGCTTTCCCACAGGCCTGAGCCTCCAAGCAGCTGGGGATGAGCTGGTGATCCCAACAGCCTGACAGCCCAGCAGTGGAGGCGGCGTTGGGCCTGGGGACTGGCGAAGGGCAGAAGATGGCCCTGATTGGGCCAGTTGCTACAATGCCCACTGTAGCCAGCAAACCACCCAATCAGGGGGTGGAGCCTGCGGTCAACCTGGAGGCCCCTCCCCGCTGCTGGCCTGCCCCTGATCAGACTCTCCCATCCCGATCAAGAGCAGGGCGCACAGAGCCCGGACCCTTCCTTCCAGCCCTGAGTCCGTGGGTTGAGAATTCTGATGGCCCTGCCCAGAGAGTAGAGGTGCCTGAGGGGCAGGGACAGGAACCACAGGCCTCCAGGGAGCACCGCAGAGTTGGCAAGGAGAGGAGAGGGCCTGTGAAGGGGGAGGAGGTGAAGCCAGCAGACATCAGCCCAGAGTCCAGCCCTTCCCCTCCAGAGGCAGCAAGACCTAAACCCAGAACCCCAGCCAGAATCAGAAGAGCCCGAGGGAGGCTTCAGGAAGCTCTATGCAAAGCTGTGCATTGAGAACAAGAGACTTCGTGAGGGCCTGACCCAGACCACGCTGGCGCAGCTCAAGGTGGAGCTGGAGCACACTGTGCAGAGGCAGGAGCGCTTTGAAGAAAGGCCGGCCCTCCTAGAGCTGGAGAGATTTGAGTGCAGGGCCCTGGAGCGCAAGGCCGCTGAACTGGAAGAGGAGCTGAAGGGCCTGTCCAACCTCCGAGCTGACAACCAGCGCCTCAAGGATGAGAATGCGGCCCTGACCCACATCATCAGCAAACTGTCCAAGTGACCCCGGAGGACTTGCCCCTGCACCCGCATTTATACAGCTGCTTCTGCCACACGCACCCCTTCCCCTGTGTGAACACGAGTGACAGGGCTGCCGGGGAGTCTCTGAGAAGCCATAGCCTCCCCTCGGGACCTCCAGGCTGGGAGGGGAGGACAGAGCCCCCAGGAGCCAAGGGGGCCATCTGAGACCAGGATAGAGATGGGAGGCTGAGCCAGGTAGGGGGACCAGGGCTACAGGCAGGACCAGGAAGGAACCGAGGACCAGGAAGTGCCAGGACCAGTAGGCCACCCATAGGTCCCCACTCACGTGTGCTGCCACCAGTCACCCCTCCAGCCCCTGAGCAGGGATCTGAGGATGTGCCAAGCATCCCACTAGCCTGGGCCAGGTGGGCCTGTACATAGGGTCCGTGTGCAATAGGGACGGATGTCTTCTATTTTTTGCTGCCCCCTCTCCAACGCTGTCCCAGGCAGGGGGAGAAGGTATTTTTCAGACATAACACAGGCACCACAGATAAAAGTCATGAAGTTGCAAAAAAAAGAGCAGGCCAGCCAGCCAAATGCCCTTCCCTCCCCCGCCCCCGCCAGCCCTGCCCTTAATCAGCCTGCCCCACCACAATAGGCCCACAGCCCCTTCCCACAGCTACCCGCCCCTGAACACACCCCCCCCACCCCATTAGGGGGCAGGGCCAGCCAGCCAATCTCCTGCAGCCCCTCCCCCTGCCCAGCCCCACCCCAGATCAGCCCCCCTCCCCTCCCCCATCAGGGGCAGAGCTGGCCGGCCAACCACCCATGGCTCCTCCCCCAGGCCGCTGGCCCTAATCAGCACCCCCCACCCCATTTGGGGGCATGGCCAGCCAGCCCATTAACCACAGCCCCTCCCCATGGCTGGCCCCACCCCCAGTCAGCCCCCAATACCAATCAGGCTGGTGGGGGGGGCAGTTGGGGGCAATCAGGCCGGCGGGGGGGCAGTTGGGGGTGATCACACCGGCGGGGGGGGGGCAGTTGGGGGCGATCAGGCTGGCAGACAGAGTGGTTGGGGGCGATCAGGCAAGCAGGCAGGTGAGCAGTTAGGAGCCAGCAGTCCCGAATTGCGAGAGGGATGTCCAACTGCCGGTGCGGGGTTGGGCCTAAACTGGCAGTCTGACATCCGCTGATGGGTCCCAGATTGGAGAGGGTGCAAACTGGGCTGAGGGACCCCCACCCCGCTGCATGAATTTCATGCACTGGGCCTCTAGTTATAAAATAAAATTCTCTCAATCACATATCATTGCTCTAAAATATAACCAGAGAATCTAAAGGACCATACAGCCTGCAATCACTTGCCATGAAAGGCTCTATCCTTAACATCAGAATCAGACCACAAATGAGCCTAATATTCTATAATCACACAGGCACCAGACATTCAATCACAAAAACCAAAAGTGTGGAAAGCAAGATGAGTATTATTATTCAATGAGGATCAATTAGCAGTTTTGTCGATACCCGAGGGAAAAAAAAATCAGTAAAGTGACAGATTGCCTTTGTCTTAATAATTCCCACTGCTCAATCAAGTAGCCCCAGAGAACATCATCACCTACTGTAAGACGGGTTTGGATTTAAGACCATGTTTATGTACCTAACAAGCAGTCTCAGAGAGAAATGTCTTTCATGTGTGGAGCTAGTCCTCATTTCAGCTGGGCTGAAATGACAGCCTTACTGCCCCAGGTCCTGACCATCCAATGAGAATGAAGGGATAAGTGATTTTATGCCTAATGCATACCGTCAATGAAGCGTGTGCATGAGCACATATACACACGCCTTTATGTAAACTCTTAGGTCACAGCAAGAATCTCTAGAAATAATCCTGTCTGGAGAAGAGAGAAGCATTATTCTTTCAACAAAAAGTTAGTAAGAACCTTCTAGGGGCCATCATGTGAATTGAAAGTTAAATATAATAGAGAAAAAAGTAAATATTTATTGATTGCCTATGAAAAGTACCATATTACAACCTTAAGTACATACATAATTAACCACAGTACATTTTACTAGCCACAGTTTATAAATAAGGAAATTCAAGGTCAATGTCTTTAAAGATGCTTGTATCAGATCATACAGCTAGCAAGTCACTATGTCCTGACTCTCAATGATTCAAAGGACTATGTCAATTTCATGACACTATCCTGCCATCTATCGTCAGGTACCGCCAGTCATGTGGGAGTCAGGTTCTGTTAATCAGAAACATAAATAGGCAGATGCATCTTTCCTGAATAATTGCCTATCAGTCTTTTACAGCTATCCTATTTAAGGACCTTCTGTTTTGAGCTTTCAAAAAATAGACATTGGGGGAGGGAGGTGAATCAGAGAATCCATTAATTATATAAGGTATATATTTTTTAAATAGTACCAACTTTCTTCGAAAAGTATAAGTTCATTTATATGACAGAAAGTATTTACCTGGAGCCTTGCCACGGTTAATTATTTTAACCTCTTTACTATACACTTTACTATTGGCAACCAAAGTGCCAAAATCAATATCTGGCTTCATTTCCAATTGACAGGCTGGAATCAACCTAGGAGAGGAAAGAGACCAGATAACGAATTTTAACAATTAATACTTTGTGGTTAAATCTACAGGGATACATATAAAGACACTCATGTCTTAACTTCTTAAAAGACCTTTCAGTTTCTTTCCAGGTCTACTGGTGGCACATTTTTCAGTAAAAGGAATTGTTAAATAAAGACATGAAAATAAGATGAGACACATTTTTTAAAAAGAAATCAGACTTTATGCATCTAAGTATGTAGTAAACCCTCCCAAGTACTCACCTTGAGAAGCTACTCACATGTTTTAATATTTTTTTTGCTTTTTTGGAACTCTGCTTTGGAATCTCCACCTAAGCCTATAAAATGCATTCTCTTGACCCTCCTCAAAAAGGGTGGAATGGACCTTAACAAAGTAAAATAGTTTGGGTGATGCCAAATCTGATTAAATAATAGAAGGTGTGATGATATATCATTTGAGGACGAAAACAAGGTCTAAGTAGAAAAAAGATTCAATTGATTTTTTCATGTGCACTTGATTTAAAGGGTGCATATCTGTAGTATACATGTAGTATACATATCTGTAGTATACATGTTCTAAAAATCCATTTAATCCTAACACATGTTTCATACATATATTTTATATTTGGATAATAATTTATAGTTTATAAAGCATTGTTAATTATATTATCCTGTTTCATACTAAAAAATTTCTGAAAGGTTAGTAAATATTATATGGCTCCTCTGTTACAGATAAAAAACCAAAGACTTAAAAAGCCTAAATAATTTATCTAAGGAATTATGAGGATACTAGAGGCCTGGTGCATGAAATTTGTGCACTCAGGGGGTCCCTCAGCTCGCTCTGCACCCTCTCGCAGTCCGGGAGCCCTCGGGGGATGTCTGACTGATGGCTTAGGCCCGTAAACCAGCCGTTGGACATCCTTAGCGCTGCCACGGAGGTAGGAGAGGCTCTCTCCACTGCTGCTGCGCTCACCAACTGTGAGCCTGGCTTCTGGCTGAGCAGTGCTCCCCCTGCGGGAGTGCAATGCCCACCAAGGGGCAGCTCCTGTGTTGAGCATCTGCCCCCTGGTGGCCAGTGCACATCATAGCAACCGGTCATTCCACTGTTTGGTCAATTTGCATATTAGCCTTTTATTATATAGGAAGGAGGATAATGTTGGTGAATTTAGCCTTGAATCCATTTTGCTAGGCTTTAAGTACAAACCTACCAATGCTAACAGCACCAATAAGTATAGTAACAACTGACCTTTAGAGACATGAATTAAGTAATTTGTTTCATATCCAATACAAACTCAAAATACATATATACACACAAAATACATAAATAAGAATACCTGAACAAAACATTCACATATACTGCCTTATGTACTGGTTCTCTAGTCCTTCTTGATGTGATGTGTTTATTTGTCTGTATATTATTGGATAAGTACAGACATTCCAGAGATCAGCCAAAACTGATCTATATATGCTACATCTTCTAAGTAACATCAATGTTCTTCTCATAAAGAAATTATGATTTTGTGACAGGAAAATAAACATAAATGGCTTACTGTACATAATTTCATTAATAAAAAGGTTAACTTATTACATAAACAGTATTAAGATGTGAAGCCAAACATTTTTTCAAACTTTCTCTAGTTGGATGAAAGAAATTGTCTTCAGAATATTTTCTTGCCTGGTCAGCATGGCTCAGTGGTTGAGCACTGACCTACGAACTAGGAGGTCATGGTTCAATTCCCAGTCAGGGCACATACCTGGGTTGTGGGCTCAATTCCCAGTGGGGGGCATGCAGAAGTCAGCCAATCAATGAGACTCTCTCATCATTGATGTTTCTATCTCTCTCCCTCTCCCTTCCTCTCTGAAATCAATAAAAATATATATATTTTTAAAAAGAATACTTTCTTAAGAATTCTCTCTCTCTCTCTCTCTCTCTCTCTCTCTCTCTCTCTCTCTCTCTCTCTCTCCCTCTCTCTTTCTCCCACACACACACGAAGTTTATCTTAGTAGTAAGGGCTTGGTAATACAGTAAGTATAACAGTTTCTCTGGTTTTCTATTGGTTTCTTTTCCATCTGATTAAGAATAGTATTCCCAATAACACTGAATCTTTTATGTTAACAGAGAGTAGTGGTTACAAAGGGCTGGGAGGTAGAGGAATTGGTAAGATATTAGTCAAAGGAACAAAATTGCAGTTAGATGATGATTAAGTTCTGGGTATATAATTCATAGCTTTATGATTATAGTTAACTACTGGCCCGGTGCACGAAATTCGTGCACATTAAAAGGGCATTAATTAGAGGACATATTTTAATATTGCTATTTTCCCTTTCTCTATAATAGAAGTGCCAGAGATGAAAGAAAATTAGTAAAATGTATATGAAAATCTCCCTCCTGTCAAGAGTCTGGGGCATGCCGCGGGACCCAGAGTCAAGTCCCCGCTCACCTGTGCATGCCTCAAAATCTCAGGAGACCCAGACCTGGCTGGTCCCACCCCCGTCAAGTCCCACAGGGCAGGGGGCACAGCCTCAGGTCCCCCGTCAAGCCTCACAGGGCAGGGGGCACAGCTTCAGGTCCGCCGTCAAGCCCTGCCGGGTGGGGGGGCACAGCCTCAGGTCCCCCATCAAGCCATGCCAGGTTGGGGGGGCACAGCCTCAGGTCCCCCGGCCCGGTGCCAGGGCAGGGTTGAGGCTTCAGGTGCACTCGCCCAGCCTCAGGTCCCCCGACCCAGCCTCAGGTCCCCCAGCCCTAGCATGAGGGTATGAGGACCATTTGCATATTAGCTCTTTATTATATAGGATAATGTTTTATATACATGAAAGTTACTAAGAGACTAGATCTTAAATGCTCTCATCACAAATGAAATAATTCTGTGATGTGATAGAAGTGTTAGCTAATGCCACAGTGGTAATCACATTGCAACATACAAATGTATTGAATTAACACAATGCATTCTATAAACTTATAGAATGTTATATATCAGTAAAATTTCAATTTTAAAAAGGAAAAATATTAATTTAAAGGTATCAAACTTTATTTATGTAGTTAAAATAAATTTAGATTAATATAATTCATAAAAATTTTAACATGTTTTTATGATTACAGTAAATCTATTTCTATACATATTTATATACATACTGCATACACATGTTCATATGTACATATACATATATACATGTGTAAATTGCATACAAATTTATACACACAGTTAATTGCTGGTGATCAGTATAAAACTGCTAAGCATAAAAATGTAATATATTAAGCCCTGGCTGGTATGGCTCTGTTGGTTGGAGTGTCATCTCATGCACCAAAAGGTTGCAGGTTCAATTCCCAATAAGGGCACATAGGAGAGGCAACCAATCAATGTTTCTCTCTCTCCTTTTCCCTTCTCTCTCTAAAAATAAAATAATGTAAAACATTATGGAAGGATGCAATTGGGAGAAATGGAATGGAAATACAAATTTGAAGAGAAAACATGCGGTAAAATTTTCAACAATTTACAAATTACTGCTGTTTCCAATTTTACTGGACACATCTGAAAGAGGCATGTAATTATTTTATAGAACATTTTTTATATACTTACATCTTTGCAAGTATTGAAACTCATAATGAAAAACCTTCGAAAAGTTTAAATATGCAAGAGGGACATAGTTTTTAGAAATACATGAAAAAAAAGGGGTTCAAAGTTACTGATTATATCATTTCTCTACTGGAGCACTTTGGAAACACCAGATAATACAAACATCTGATTTTCAGACCAGAACATTTTTCCATGTTCCTCCCCACTAAATAGGACTATAAACGCTAGAAATGGTGCAAAAGGCAAGCACAGGAGAATAGTGAAAGTTGGTGAGAAGGTAGAACTGGTTGGTTTGGGACTGAGGATTGGAGGAAAAACACAAAAATCCAAGTTAAAGCTCTGATATTGAAATGGTGAAAATTAAAAAGCACTGACAGCAACAAATGCCAGTGAAGATGCAGAAAAGTAGGTTACTCATATATTGCTCACTGAAATGTAAAATGATACAGCCATTCTGAAAAACAATTTGGAACTTACTTTTTAAACTAAACATGCAACTACCAAATGACCTAGCATATGAAAAATGAAAATTTATTTTCACACAAAACTTGTACATGAATGTTCATAGCAGTTTTATTTGTAATAGCCAAAAATTGGAATCAGCCCTGACACATTTCAACAGGTCAATGGTTAATCAGTGGTATACTAATACCATGCATTAGTATTCAAGAATAAAAAGGAGAACCAAGATGGCAGTGAAGGTAAATGCCAGTACTTACCAGTTCCTACAAACACATCAAAATTAGAAGTACTAAATTACAGAACAACCACCATTCAGAACTACCTGAAAGCTGACTGAATGGAAGTCCGACAACTAGAGAAATAAAGAAGAAAGCACATGGAGACTGGTAGGAGGGGCAGAATCGTGGAATGGGCTGGCCTGACATCAATGTGTGGTGTTTTTCTTTAATTGGGAGGACTATCTCAGCTGTGAAGGCCTCCTATGAGGAGCAAGGGGTCAAAGCCCCACACCAAACGCCCAGCCCAGGCTTCCAGAGATTGGGAGAGAAATCTCCATAACTTCAAGCTGTAAAAACCAGCAGGGATTACAGCTGAGTGATAAGGATGCTGCTGAAGAACCAGGCAGTTCCCCTTAAAGGGCCAGTGCACAAACTTACACAGAATTACTCCTCCTGAGATCCAGTGCTAGGGTAGCAATTTGGAGGTATCCAGAGACTTACAGGTAGGAACTGAATTGTCTGGCATCAGAGCAAGAACTTGGGAGTGACATTCTTCTAGACAGGCATGTTAGCAGAGGTCACTATTCCTATGCTGTGACCTCCCCCACCACAGAGCTGACTGGCAACCATACCTCAGTTTCAATCAGCCTGACTCACACTGTTCACTCCATCCTGGAGATTCCCTGAGACCCCCCACCCCATTCAATTTGTAACCCCACTCAAACTATTTGCAGCGCCTTTTCCATATGAACA